CTGCCGCGACGGCACCTCGCTGAGCAGCTGCAGGAGATCGTTTGCGGATGTCCACGGAAGCTGCGTAAATTCCAGCATAGTCCTGAATGTTCAGTGAAACCAACAGGGAAGCTTTTGCGAGCCCTTGGCGTGCTACTGAGCCCCTACTTAGCACGCGCTTGGAAGTTGGGTCCGAAGCGCCAAGGGGCGACATAGTCCACTGCCTAGCCCGGGCACTCGGCACTTGTCTCAGAACCAGTCGCAGGACGGAGGTGCCCATTCCCAGGCCCCCACAAAGCCCAGAGTCCATCAGCACGTCTCAGATTTGGCTCAGAATGCTCTGCAAGTACTCAGGTAGTGGTCATGAGTCAAACCGTCACAAGGTGCTGTCAGAGAAGCTGCGCAGCTGCCCGGCCAAGAAATTCAGGGGCTCAATGTCTTAGCGAAGGTTCCCAAAAGCTCCAGAAGCTCCCAAAAATCCGGGGGGACCTTTTGGGAAGTGGGTTGGCAAGAGCCCAGGAGGTGCTTCCCAGGAAATCTGGGCACTTCCCAATAATGCATCCAGGTTCCAAGGAAGTGCCCAGCAGGTGAGGAAGCTCTTGCCACTGGAAGCATGGCCGTTTGGCTAAGTTGCAATGGGCGAACTCTTTGCAGTTTGCTAAGAAATTGGAGAAACCATCCAGCAGATGCAGTAGCAACCTAGTTGATTTGGCAATCTCAGCCAGTCATTTTTTGTAACGAATGGTTTCTTATGCAGTGCTTGCGCTGCAATCATTGGATTGATTTAAACAACATACATTGGCTGGTTTCGGGTTGGGTTAGGCTTGGTTTGGGATTGGTTGGTTGAGTGTTCGGGTTGGCTTAGGGCTGGTTTCGGGTTGATTATGGCTGACATGGGTTGGTTTGGGGCGGTTGCTGGTTTATAGGTGGGTTCAGACGGTTGGTTTATGCGGGTTTCGGGTGTGGTGTTGGTTTTTTAAAGGTTGGTTTACGGTTGGTTTAAGGCTGGTTTAGGTGGGTTAATAAGGTTTGTTTAGGCGGTTCTAGGGTTAGTGTAGGGTGGGTTTAGGGCTAGGATTGTTTTAGGTAGGCAATTGGGGGGTTTGGTGGGGTGGGGTGGGTGGTTTAGTGTTTGCCGTTGCCATTTTGGGGCACCGAATCCTTTTACTTCGAGTTGGGCTTGGCAAATCAACCTCTAGGGGGTTTAAGCTGGGATTCCTTGGGAAAGTCTGACCGCAACCCAAGGAGTTTTGGCACTCTTCTCTTTGGGTCCTTTAAGGTAATTAAGGTCCTTTAAGGTAATGTATTCTTAGGACAAGAGTGAACTAAAGTATGGTATGATTAAACCTCGTCTCCAAATCCGTTGTTTATCCTATTCAATTCGGGCGTCATCCATCCCAACAAAAGATCGATCCGACAACCTCAATAAACCTCAATAAACCAAGGGAAAACAGCGAGTTTGTGAAAATAGTGATGCTTGGAAAGAATGGGGAATCATCCCCGAGACTGTTCGGTTTCTCAGATCTGAAGTGAGGAACCCAACCACGAAAAGGGGGCTGGGCCCCAATCAAGATCAACCAGTGTTTCTACTTAGATCCGGGGTTCGCTTCAATCGACCGTCATGTATTTTATGGGAGGGTTATGTGCTCATGACGTGTTTTTCCCCCCCCCTGGAAAAGCGATACGGGGCGCCAAAAAACAAATCAACACCCCAAAGCCCGAGGAAACAAATCACCATAAAACACCATCCGGAACCCAAATTGTGAGCATGCCTTTGTTCTAGAGACCCCAACATTGCTTCGATTCCATGTTGGATCCCCCTAGAGAACAAGAGAGAGCGCAACTTGTTCACTCAAACAAATCGGAAGACTTTCTCAAATCAATCCACAAATCCTGGTCTTTTTTTTGGAACACTTTCTCAATTCAAGCCAAAAAGCGCCTGGTCTTTATCGGTTCTTCTCGTTTCTAAGCCAAGCCCACCGGGCTTCAAGTCCCGGCTCATTTCCAGGAGCTGCGGCGCGCGGGCGCGCGCTGCGTGGAGGCGCTGAGCGCCTGGCGCCGCTCCGTGGCGCCGTTGCAGGCGCGCTTCGCGTGCCTCGCGCGACGAAGCGCGCTTCGTTGCGCGTGGTCTGTCGGTTTTGCGAAACTTCCTGAGTTGGGGAGTTTGGTCAAAGATTGGAGTTCCCAAAATGGCACCCTGGTAAATGAAAAAAACAACTAAAACCTTTTGTCCCCTGGTGGCTCAATTTTGACCCATACCCAGTTTATGAACTTTAACCTTTTTGGTTTTGACCATTTTAGTGGTAAATAGACAGTTTTTACTTTTTTGGGCCATCCACTCAGCCAGTGAGTGGAAGGAGGCAAGGAGAAAGCAAGGTCCTCCTTGCCTCTCACTCTGCTCAAAAGGCCCCCCCATGTAAGCTCTTGAGAAGGCCTGGGAGTTGAGCAAAAGGTCCATTACATGGGGGGACCACAGAAGAACACCCGAAAAGATGACGTTCTCACATGGGAAAGTTAGACATAGTCATTTGGGAGAAAGGAATATTGATCAACCCCCAAATGGAATGAACCCCGGATCGTTTGCACAGCTGCTACGAAGTTGCTACCAATCACCCGGCAGTAAAGATCGAACAATAGATTTCAAGCCTTTCAAATCGCTTTAGACCACTACGGAATCGTTTCGCATCAGTTGGCGTGGCATGACTCAACTGGTGGTTTCTGAACTAAGGGAATCTCCAAAACCTGTTTTTTCCCATATGAGCAGTACTGAGTAAGTTGTCTTACGTGGAGCCATTTACCTGATACAGGCAGGTCACCAAGGGAACCACCCTTAAAACCACAAGGAAAATAGTTGGTTATCTACTAACTGGGATTTACTGGGTTGGATTATGTTACATGTTTTTTCAACACATGCTGTTTAATGTTTCAGTTCTTGGCATTGTTTAGGTTCTTGGTTGGCTCTGTTCGTTGTTAGATGACTGCAAAAACAAGTATTTGGCTCACATGCCATGGCCTCTACCTTTTGTTCCCGGCAAGTGGAAAAAACTAAAACCTCCGGTCCCCTGCCTCTTAGCTTTTGAGCCACACCTAGACAAGAGACTCACTTGCCCAAGGCGAATCGAACAACATGACCTTTGAGTTCAAAACTTTGGCATCCAGTGTTAGTGGCCCCAAAAGGTGATCACTTTTTATTTCGTCCTTTGGGCACCTGAAGAGAGTGTGTAATATGTAGTCGGATTTATTCGAACTGAAGCAAATCCAAGCATAAAAAGGGGGTCCCATTTCTGATCATGTCCAGCTTGAGAAGTTGGCCTTAGAATTTGAAATGCGTGAGGATCCCATGCACTTCGTACGCATCTTGCCGCCTAGTAGCCAAATACAGAAGGGTGTACGTTGCGTTGTGTTCCATGGGGTTTGAGGCCCGGGCATGACTTAGGCGTGACGTCTTGGAGTTGCGTTGTCATGGGGATTGTGGATTGAACATTGATGAGGCGGGCAGATTGACCCGGTGGATAAATTGTTCCCTGACATTCTTCAGAGACGTTGGGATTGCCCACGCAAGCCTTGGGGTCTTTCTCCTTCAATATCTGGGGTGGTGTTTGGGTGTTGTTTATTTGGTGGAGTGGGTTGCCCACTGGGCATAAGGGAAAGTGGAGGCTTGGGAGGTGGTGGTTGCGTCTCACATTGCGGAACCCGACGGAAAGCCCCAGGATTCAGCTGCCATTCAAATGGGGTCTTTACCCTGGATGTCCCAAATCCTTGCCATTCTTTTGCCCCGTTGAATTCCAAGTGGTGGGAATTTCCCATGGAACTGGAACTGGGATTCCAACTTGAGGCTGAATGAGTCGAATTTCTCGATCCATGCGCGTGTTGTCTCAAAGGTCGAGGGCTCATCAGGCGCTTTCGGTGGTTTTTCGTGTGAAATCTGGAGATTTGCAAGGCCGGGGTTTGCCTCTGAAAGCATTCGAATCGCCTGGAGCATCCCTGTGTAAGTGTCTTGGACTTGATTCCCACAATAAAGAGGAGTGAACCATAGAGGACTGATTGGAGGGGGTTTGGCGCCCTTTAGCTTCTACCTTGCCCAGGTTTTGGTCAAACTGGGAATCGGTTTTTCAAAATTACGGCTTTGCCTTCGGTCTCCCAACCACCAAATCATTCAATCAACACAAGCGAGTGCCACACCACCCCAAAACAACGTCTCCCGGAACGCACGTTTCGCGCGTGAGGTGGGCTGCGTGCCCGGGTGGCCATACGCCGGCCCCACCGGCGAGGTGGACGACGCTACGGAGGACGGCGCTTCGGGCGGGTCCAGTGCGAAGCTCAGTGCTTCAGGCAAGCCTTTGGCTTGACTGCCATTGGATCTTTAGACTTTAACTTTTTGGTTGAAACAAAGATGCTTGCTACTAAACCCCTAAAAAGTGAAACACTTTTTGCGGGGGGGTCTTGCCTCCAACCAAGTTGGGAAATTAGAGGCAAACCCTGACTGCAGAGAACCTTCCCACCAATTCACATGGAACCTGACCTTCGGACCATTGCCTTTTGAAGGGGCCGAAGGTCAGGTTCGGGGTAAGCCTTCGAGTTTTAAAGGCCGGGTTTTACGTGAGGGGAACCCTGGGTACCTATGGTGGAACGCCACTTTTTCTCTCCGAAATGGGAATTCAGAAGCGGTTTCTCAGGCGCTTTGAGGGTTATGGTTTTTTGCCAGTGAAATAATCAAAGAGCACTTTGAAAGGAGCCTGATTCAATCAGCTTGGTGCCATTTGGCTCTTCGCCAAGTCCACTTTGTGTGGGGTGTAGCTGTTTGTTGTTTTTGTTGGTTTGAGGGAAACTAATCGTCAGCCATCCGTTTTGGACACAAAGCCAAATGCTGGACACTCGGAAATTCAACGGGTTTACCCACCCTAAGGATCAGCAGGACTTCCAAGGCCACAAGGCCAACTATGGCCAAAGCTGGCCAAATGGCACCTATAAACAAACCCCTGTGGTTTCCCTCAAGGGAATCCCCATTGCGGTTCATTCCCAAAACTTTGGCTGTTTCCCTACTGCACCGGCAAGATAAGCCAACTTGAGAGTGTGTTTTTTTCTTGCTCGGCTTGTTGTTTTGTTTTCTCGGTCAGCTTCTTGTTACTGGAGGCCCTTCTTTCTTCTTTTCCCGCAGCTGGTTTCTTTTTTTCTCGGAGCTTGGGCCGCGGATGATGTCAGGACTACCTGGTGCATTTGGCGGACGACGCGGTGGTCCGAGCCTTCGAGACCGTGGTGGAGGTCTCGCCCGAGCGCGGGACCCGAAGGGCCGAAGGAGTTCCAGGGCTCATGGACGGGCAGATGCTTGTGGCGATATCAAAGGCATCGAAGTGAATCTCATAGAAGACAAGATGAAGGGTGCAGTGTTGCACTCTCTGCGGCTCACAAAGAATCGGACAAAGGGGTCTTGGTGCCCATTGATTCCTCGAGCCCCTTCTTTTTTTGTGGCAGGACCAGCCCATTTCTGGCGTGGGCCAGTGGGCCACTGTCACATATGGAGGTAAGGAAGGCAGAGATTTTTCCTGAGCTTTTGGAAGGCCAACCTGGGAGCTTCCTTAAGGGCAAGAGTTTCAAGAACTGGTGCATGTTGATTGGGCGCAGCCCATTTTAGAGGGGACGGGATCACGATTTTTTTGTTCTTTGTTTTCTGGGGGGGATGGAGCAGCCCTGTAGTGTTGATGCACGGGTTCTTTCTAAAAGGATTGATCCCTCTTCCATGATCACACATGTGATTTGTCAGGCACCACAGCATTTTACCTTTTTTCCCTTTTTTTTTGTTTTTCGGGGAGGCCATTTCTGAGGATCACTGAACACATTGCGCCGTTTGCCTCGGTTCATGTTCTCACTTCCTGAGTGTTTCTTGGTTTGCCCTTACCAGCAAAATGACAAGTGTCTTAACTTCGTGGGGGGTTCTGAGTCCAGAAGACTTGGATCTGAGGGTTAGCTAGATCGGCTGAGCCCCGATAGAGGGCGGATCAAGCAGCACTTGACTTAGAGGGCAGCTTGACTTCATTTGCGGATAGAGTGACAAAGAGCAAGAGGGTGCCACCAATCCAGGCCCAGTTCTCCTAGATCCGCTCCAGAGACCAAACTATTAGAGGTGGCGAACAGAGGCAACAGAGGATTGGACAAAGAAAAGACGGAGCAAACAAGAACAGGGTGCCACCAATCCAATCCACCAATTGAGGAATTGGAAGCTGAGAGGCGCTCAAAAGGTCGAAGAAAGCTGCGGTGCATGGCCGAGGTGCGACCCATTTCTGCTCTTCAGGTCTGGAGGCGGAAACGAGACCGTAAGAGGTCTGCCAACAACAGAGATGGAGACTGGAAAGGGGCCCTTGTAATATGAAAAGTGGTCTTCTCATTTTCCGGTTCAACTGGCGCGTTTTTGGGAGTTGCAAGCTTTTTTTGTCGGAGTGAAGGCATAGCTTCGCAAGAGATTGACATCCTGTTCAGGTGTGTTGGCAAGGTTAAGGCTGACGACGCATAGACCCCCTTGAGGCCACAACGGCATTCTGTGGCTAACTCACGTTTCAGTTCAGGATAGTCATGTACCGCTAAGGGGTACTCACTTTTGCAACCAAAGTGACTCGAGCTTGCTTGACCTTTTGGCTGTTCTCTGGCTGGTGCCCTGCCATTTTTCGTCAAGGCCGCAATATGTGATGTGAGGGTAAGGCGACTGAAGCCCATCGACATAGCCTCTCAGCACAAGCCCGGTTTAGGTCAGACAAACAAAAAACGAGGAAACAACACATGTTTTCCAAAGACGCACCAAGCTATTGAGCCATAGTGGTACTTTAAGTCGCAAGACAGAGTTCCAGAAGTCATGCGCCATGGACTTGCCTCGTGGAACCTTCCCGTGGACGAAAGCGGACTCGATGGATATCTATACTGTTTCCATGGCTGGTCTTAGGTGTGATCAATGCGGCTCTGGGACTGTTAGAAAACAAATGGCGTTCGTTTCTTGACACTTACAACAAGTTAGATCTTTGGGGGAAGGAATCGCAAGGGTGGCCAGTAGAGGCCAGTACATTGCGGGGTTCCCATGGCTTCTCTCACTGTGGCTCAGAACCAACAGTGGCCTTGCCGCTGACTAGCTTCATCAGAGTCATGCACTGGCAGTGGTTCAACGTCTAAGTGGCAGTTCTACAGCTGGTTTTGGCTTGACAACCACCCCAAGGGCAACATGTAGATAGTGCCTAGCCTTTGTAGTGGATGTATACTCTCCAGCACTTTGATACATTACCACACCACATCCATGAACTGTATTTGTTCTTTCCGTTTGGGAAAACACGCCTTCCATTTGCCTCAATGTTCGTTTCTCCGGCACGCAATTCGGCGTCGGCCAGCACCCCCTTCGGACTCGGTGACCGAAGCCAGGCACCAGCTGGAAAGAGAGCGGCAAGCTGTGCCCTCCCGCGGTGGCCGACCGCGCGCGGCGGGGGCAGCCCAGCCCTGGCCGTGATCCAAAGAATTGGAGTTCCCAAAATGGCGCCTTGGCACGAGCCAAACACTCACGAGGTTGACCCTGGGACTCTCGAAATTTGAGACACACTTATTTGTGAGACGTTGTCCCTGCAAAGGGCCCGCGTTTAGTTGGCTGGGCAAATCTGGGTCATATGAGCCAGCACATGAAAAAAGAACTGGATAAGGGCATGGAGGCATCAGGGTCATGGGAGTTTCGGTATATGAGTTTAGCAGACCTGCCGCCAAGGAGCTTGCCCATGAAGGTCCTTTTGCGAATGATTTGCTCCAGGGTGCAGGGTCTTATTTGGCAAAGGGTTCTGGCACAGGCTTCCTTTCTGACCGCCCGATGGCAAGAAACTCGTTAGCCCCTTGGGTTCCCACACCTCGGATTGACGTGCACCTGGAAAATGTGGCAACTTGAACTGCGTGCTCTTTGTCGGTCTGCGGCACCCAGACGCAACGATTTCTCCCATCTCTTCTGAACAATGTTCCGCCGCGGCAACCGTTGGCCCAAATGTGGCTTTTGATGCCGTTGGCTTCAGGGATGCCTTGCCAGCAAGGTGCATATTTTTCCGTTTGCTCTCCACCTAGGCGGACTGGGAGTGGGGCAGGACATGAACCTCTGGAATCCCCAGTCCCACTTGGCCTTTCTCCGAGTTGTTAACAGCGGCCTTTACGGGAGGTGCGGGTGTCCCTTGGCAGCTTGAGTTGAAAAAGCCAAGAGCCGCGAGCAACTCATAAACAGGGCAGTCGACATTTAAACTTAAGTACTGGGGCACAAAACCTCTCTTGAAATCCCTTGATTCTGGGGCTGCAGTAAATCCTCAGCATCAATTCCTTTGGGACAAGCACCCCTCCGCTTTTGAGATGGCAGTGGGTCAATATACACCCCAAATGGATCCCAACAGAAACATGGACTAAACCTGTGGTCCATTGGTTTAATTTGACCCATACCCAGATTGTCCTGAGATTCTTTCTGCCGATCAACGAGCCGCAGGCTTGAACGTGCGCGGCTGCAGCTGGGGGAGCAAGAGGTCGCGCTCTCCAGGCAAGGGCCGGGTGGAAACGAAGTCTCTGGACTTTGGTGGATCCCAGCCGTCCGGTTCCTTGCTTGTTTTTGCTTGTTTGTAGGCCCGGTTTTGAGTTGGCGTAGTGGTGGTGTCCACCGAACCCACTAAAAGTTCATTGGGTTAAAGAGGGGATCTGAGGACAGCCCAGCTTATATAGTATGTTTTGTTGTCCTGTCGGCTCCGAAACTATTCTAAACGACACGGGGCCGACCACAGGGTCCCTTTTGGCGGAGTCTGAATCCCTCCTGTCTAAGTTCCAGTGGGAGGGTGAGTCTCCGGACTTTATACCAGGGCCCCCCTCCCCCCCTGGTTGTCAAATAGGCCAAAGAGTCCTGGTAGTGTAGTCCAGTTGTGTTTTTGTTTTTGTAGTTCGATGTGGTCTCGAGAACTATTTCAATTGGGAGTAGACTTCCTGTGAAACATAGTTTGCAAGTACGATTATTTGTAGACCCCCAGGTGTGGGCCAATAGGTCGATTTCAGGAAGTGAGAGGCCGATTCGCATATCAGGAAATGCCGAGAATTGCTCCCCCCGCAAGACTCCCCTCCCAAAAGGTTGAGGGCGCTGAAGGCGCTTTGGAGTGTGGGGGGGGGGACATGCATCATGTTTCTGATCATTGTGCGTTTGAGGTGCTTCGGCTCCTATTGGTTTCATGGAGTTTATAGCCTGGGCACTGCTCAGTGTTTTTCAGGCCATTGACCAAGACCCTTGACTCGAAAGTGCTCGGGCCGAGGCTCCAGCGGGTGGATGGTAGCTGGCAATCTTAACAAGTAACATGAAGTCACACCCCAAAGTACTTGGGGCATCTTGGGGCTCCCTTTTTTCGGGTTTGGCGCAGCTGAGCAGTGCCCCAAGTAACTATACGTTTAGTTGGCCCTTTAATGTTCTTTCAGGTGCCCGGTCCAACCATCGAGGAATTCCGAATTGGTTTTCTTAACACACCTAGACTTCTGGTCAACTGACAGCGAGAAAGTCCTTGGCATATTTGGTTTGATTGACCTATTTCGGGCCCATCATTCCCTGGCTGCTAAGTAGCTAATATGCTTTGCTGGTCCCAGAAAGCCAAAGAAGACGGACTACCACTCAATCTTTCCAGATCCCCCACCTTACCCAGCTCCCTTCATAGCCGGCCAACTGTTTTCGAGTGAATGCTTCCAGGATGAAGGCTAGCTCCATGAGGTCCATCAGGGTCCCCTCCCCCCACCTTCTGGTTTCCTCTAAGGCCTCAAGGCCTTAGGCTCGGGAGCATAGGTGACGGCCTTGACAAATGGATGGCCCTGGTAAATGGAATAAACCCCATCTAAACCAGTGCTATCTATTATTAACCAAACCAACCTAACAAGGACGCCTATGCTCGGGAGGGGGTATTGGAGGCTTAGGACCCTAGGATCATCGCATCGAACTACAAGTGAGCCACAATCAAAACCCGGGCAGATGTAGGCTAGCAAGGGACGATCCCAACAGTAAAATAGCTGCGGAATTCCGCCTTCTGAATGCTGTACCTGGTTCTGGGTAGACCATTTTAGTACCAGGTTTTGATTGTGACTTCTGCGTGCCCCCAGTGTCCTGGCTCGCCAGGGTGCCTGAGCCAAGCGCCGCGCGGGAGCAATGCAGACTTGTCGCTTTGGGGAGGGATACTGTAGGAGCCAGGGTTTGATGTGCTGACTCCCTTTTGAGGAAATCCACGCATGTCCTCAGATTCTACATTGACGTTTCCATATTCCGTATATAAATTTTCTGACGCAACACTACCCATTGCACGGCCAACAAATAAATAAAACCTGTCTATTCGCTCTGAGCTTCTGAGATAGCCGGTTCCTTAGCGGGAAACTGATAAAGCGATCACCCTTGACCTGTGACCTCTTTTTACATTGGTATTTCCGTTATATTGATCATAGGGCGACACCCGAAACAACGGTTTCTCTGGTCGCCTGTCTTGAAGCAACCAGGAATATCACACGTGTGCCCGCTTCTTCGGTATTGGTATTGAACCCTCTTGGACTGAAGCTCAACACAATTACGTGCCTGTAGGGCGAATTTCCTTTACGCTGCGGGATACTGTGAGTGCGCAATAAGTATGTATGGGTACATGAAGAGTACCCACTCCCGCGGGCAGATACTTGGATGTTCGGCAAGGACTTGTCCTCTACACCGCTTGAAACAGGGTCAACTTACTGTGGGGGTGCGGTATTTTTGTGGGTGAAACACCCAATCTGCCAATTCAATGCTTGGCGAAACGCCCACGGGTAGTTTGTGTGGTGTGGTTTGACTCGCTTGGACGGCGCTCCTCTCTTGGTCTGCGAGGACCGAGCGGCGCTTCTGCAGAGCATCCTCAAGGGCCGGCGCGGAGCCCAGATGCGAGTCGGAGGGGCGCTGGGCGCGGAGAGCGGTGTGCTGGGTGGAAATGGATCTCTCAGGTAATGATCTCATTGGGGAATGTGCCATGTTCGGAGGGAGGGAGGGAGGTAAGGGTATGCTGGATCTGGTAACATATTTGGGAAAATGCAGGAAAACATGTTGCCCACTAGCAAGGTTGAAGTTGTTGCGCAACTAAGAAAGTTCACGTTTTGAGGGGTTCTCAAAGTCCCTTTTGTGGGGTGTTTTTCTTGAAGGCCGACATTTGGTATATATTTTGGAGAATGCTATTTTTACAGACACAGTGGAGGGAACATGTGTTGCTGATTCATGGTGTTTCTCCATCCCTAGCAGCCTTGTCAAGGGCTTGCTGAGGGTTGCCAGATGGCCTCAATAGTTGAGTCCGATTTTGGATGAATGAGTCTGAAGAAATTTGCGGCCAACAACTTGTTTAATGGTTCGGGTACCGGCAACGTGTTTGACGGCATTTTCTTTTGTTCACATCTTTTCAGTCGATTTTGAGTGATACTGTAAGCCAACGGGTCGCGAGGTCGGAGTCGATTCCAGTACTGGATTTGCTGAGCCGGACTTTGGGTAGGATTGGCTCTGGTTTCTCCGAAATATGGCCGTCACTGTGATTATACCCTTATAAGGGTCTTAATTTGGGGAAGGGGGGAGAGGAAATATTTATAAGCAAGCCAACCTGCAACAATGCATGGGCAATTACTAGTGTTTGTTGGTATTTCCTACTTGCATCATTAAACAATTCTAATGTGTCATATGAGCTTATGGTCATGGACCCTTTCGTAGAGGTGATAGACAACCATGAGGGGGTCTTTGTTTTTGGGAGCCATGACCATGGCCTCCAGAGCTTGACACTGGCACATATCCGTCGTTCTTCAGGATTTGGAGGGAAAAGTGTGCTCAACAAGACGAAGTCCGGCGGTACATGTGCTATTTCTCAGTTGCGCACTGCCAATATCTGGGTTTCTCTTGTTCTAGGGGGCCCTCACAAATGGTGGTTTTCCATTTGGTTTCCCTTTAAACCTGACCAACAAGGTGGTGCCCGTCTGCCTTTTGGTTTTCCAAATGAATGAAAGTTGAGGCCTGCCCTCGGGCGGCAATCTTGTCCAATCAGCTTTTGGTGTCCGTGTCAAATCAACCGGTAACCGATTCCTGGAGGTACCAAGGCTTTGGTTCTCATTTCCGGGTCCAAGAGCAATCAGGGTGGGGCCGAAACACACGCACGCACGTTACAACTTGGGTGTTCAAGCCACGTAGGTTTACAGTGGACCCACTTAGTGGACCCAGGTTTTCGGCATTTCGGAAATCCCCCCCCCAAAAAAAAAGGTTGGGACCCTCCCAATTCGATCCCATGCGAGAGACAATGTGGACAGGAGCCGTTGGAACACCCACAGTTGCTTTGCCAGGTCCCGGCCCGCCACCACAGCGCCTGGGCAGCAAGAAGAACTCGATTGCGGAGCCATAGGTTTGGCGGTGCTCAAATAAAGATGCAGTAGTCCACAAGTGAACAGTTTGTTTGTTGCAAGCCGCCAAGCAAATCACTTCCGCGAAGGCACCGGGAGGCACTTCGGGCTAAGAAAGCGATCCTGTCGGCAGTCCGCGCAGGCTGTTCGAGAAACTCCTCGGAGGCAGGTTGGTTTACCAGTAGCGCCTAGAGAAATGTTTGCGAGGCAATTCGCGTAGGCTCTGGTTGCGACAAAAGCTCGAATAGGCTTCCTTCAATTTGAGGACGCGCTCATTCTCAGGGTATGCCGGGCGACCCGCCTGGTGCTTCTTGGTTCCATCTTGAACTTTGAAATATGTTTCACAGTGTTGTTTCAGGGATCCCCCGCAAGCGCGGCCATATTGGGCCTTTGGCTTCAATCAGGTCTATTCACCCGTAGGAACGCTCTGGGTCTTCGGGGCTCGATTCAGTTGTCCACCAAGTTGTCATGGCAAAGCGGCCAGTGCGGGTGATACAGACAAACCCACCACCATGATCATAGCTTTCCACCCCCTCCTTTCAGACAAAGCTTACAGCGTGACGAAGGCCCTTTTGTTGCACAAGCCCGGTGCTGAAGCGAAGTCAACAAAGATGTGCGACTGCGAGGGTGCCATTGGTTTGCAGGCTTCGTGGGGAGGGGTTTATGAGTGTTGACCAGGGATCCTTCTGCGAGTCTGAATTGATACGCCCTGAGGACAGCAAGCCCCGCAAAGACGGCTTGGACGGTGGGGGTCCTTGTGATTCGAGCGTGTGCTCAGGGTTACCTTCTCTCGCTTGCTTGGACGAAATACTGGGAAGAGTGAAGGAGTGTTTTGGCTTGGCTGTTTTACTACAAAACCCGCGAATGAGCAAATTGGAGCTTCCCAACCTGCCGGTCATATCATGAATTTCTTGGTTGCTCTTTGGTTGGACCGGAGCAACCTCGTCAACATTTCTACAATGACCGTTTCCTAGTTCCAGCTATCTCAAAATTGAGAAAACCACATGGATAGAGACATGGAAGAGTTCCTGCTCTATTGCTTTGCAGAAGCCCGGGGCCAATGCCGCCGCGTTTCTTGCGGCCCGGACTTTGAAATGGGGAGTCTCTTTTCATCTGGACACACTCCACACCAGGCACCGGCTGGCATGGAGAAAGCGCCAGAACTACCGGTTGATCAACCAGCATTGCCAGCTAAGCTGGATGAAGCCAAACCCAGAAACCTCCAAGCCTAGCTGGGATAGACTACATAAACCCAGAAACCTCCAAGCCTAGCTGGGATAGATGAAGCAAACCTCCAAGCCTTGGGATAGATGAAGCCACATTTGAATGCTGGTTGAAAAGCTGTTAATTTCAATTGGCGCGAAGTGGATTCTGTCCACAGGGTCTGGAAGTCTGGCTTACTGACACCCTCGCGTTTGAGTGGCGGGTTCCCTATAGAATTCTTCAACCAAGGCCCAGGCTTTGTGACCTTGACCCCACTTGCAGTTGCTTCCACTTGCTTAAGAATCGGTGTTTTGTTGTTCCCCCTTGTTAATTTGAAGCGGAATCCAACCTTCAGTTCTTCCATTGGGCTTAAGCAAATTGAAGGTTGCCGCTATGTTCCATCCTTTAAAAGCAAAAACCAGAACACAAGTCCCGAAAATTGCGAAATACATTCAATTCGGAAACTTGCGAGGAGATGTTGATTGTATCCATTTTTCCCAGACTCCTATTTCACACCCGGAGACCCAACCAACCCAGGGAACGCTGCGCAAGGAGCACTAGAGAGCCGAAACCCAAATGGTTTTTGATTTCCTCCTCCGTTGCTAGACTTACGAAGCCTGAGTTCAGGGACTAAGACTTCTTACTTCTTGGGGTTTGGATCAAATTTTAGTTGGCACATGCACAAACAAAAGGGTGTTTTTTTCTCCTGCTTTTCTGAGCCATCCACTCCGGAAGTGAGATCTGACTTTTAAGCCAAAAACATCTAGACCCTGCCTTTCAGAGCTCAAGAGCTCGACTGAACATCTTGGCAAGGCAGGGGGAAACCTTGCTTTTTTTGGTTTGGTATGTAAGGCTAAACCAAGTAGCGGCCATATCCTGGCACATATGGCCCCGGTGAATGGTCATACGGGATTCAGAGAATGGGGGTACGCACATGTTTGCACAGGCAAACCCAAGCACCCAAGCTTGGCTCCCGATATTTTTTTGAGGGTACCCTTTTTGTTGCGGTTGTTTTAAGGGAAACCAAAAGGGAAATTTAACATGCATATTTTTTGCAGGGGGGTTCCCCTAAGCAAAGACACACCCGAGTCAACTACCAGGCTTGGGGCTGGACGAAGCTCTGCCCCAGAAGCTGCCGCGATCTGTGAAGAGGCGTGGGCGCTCATATGGTGAGAACCGGACCTGAATCTCCCCAAAACAACATGTTATAGCCTAGGGTAAACGAAATTTTCCCCAAAACACATGTTATAGCTTAGGGTAGACGAAATCTGGATCTGTCTTTTTTTTTAGGGACCCCCCCAAAAAGGTGGGTTTCCTGTTGGACCAACCCAAGAAAGGGTACCCCAAAAAGAAAAAATATCCATATGGTTTTTGTCTGTACACAGGATTTGGGCCGAGCTACAACTTACGATAGTCCCATTTGCCCAGTTTTGCCTTTTGTGTGCTCCCGTAAGGATTTCTTTGGGAATGCCTGGCTTGTCTCAAGCATAACGGGGGGTCGGGACCATTCCGGCAGGCCCCCAGGTGGCATTAGCAAATCCCCTTAGACCTTACAGCCAATAGGAGATCTTCTCATTGGACTGGCCAATGAAACGCGTCAGGTGGAAGCCGCCTGTGAAACGCGGCGCGTCCCGCGGATGAGTCTCTGAGATCCGCTCAGTGGCACCGGCACCTCAAGAAAAGGGTGTCCAGCACTCAAATGCCTTACCCAGTGGTGCTTGTCCTTTCTGTTTCTTGTGTTACATCTTTTTGGGGGGAAAGGTTTCCCTTGAACATCAAGCAACAACAAAAGGGTAATGGGGTGTGTTGTTTTCAAAGCTATTGTTTTCCGGTTGGTTGACAGGGAAACCTAAAGGGAAATCACAATTTGCGGGATCCCGACAAACTCAAATGGCTTGCCCCTTACTAGCAGACTTGTGGTTGAACAGGTGTGAATCTTACCTTTCATGTTTGGGTTTCGGGTTATTGGTGGGGTTGTCCAAAATGATTGCTGGGTCAGCCTTGGCCCTGAATATATCAATATGACTCAAACTGTGAGTGTGTCTCAGGGTAAGTTAACCCCGATTACAAGAGGGGGTGTCCCTTTGGTTTGTCAATAAACAACAACACCGCGGATCACTTCAGGAAAGAACAGCCCTGTCCCAGGATAGAGCTCTTTGTGCCAAGGGTCCATGATCCATTCTTGACTGCTACTGGGTTGGATCTTTAGACTTTAACTTTTGGAAGCTGAAGGGGTGTTCCACTCAACCCACCAAAAAATAGCTTTTTGCAGAGGGGTCAACAGCAAGAAAGCATTGCATTGAAATGAGATTGCTTGGCGGCAGAGATGTAAGACTTACTTGCCCAAAGAGAATCGACGTTTTGACCGTTTGGTTTTGCCAGTTTGGCACATTTTTAGTCATGACCCCAAAGGTTAGCCTTTTATTTCCAGGTCCTTTGGGCAAGTGAGAAGAGGTTGTGTTCTTGACTACTGGCATATTGTCCGGCTATGTCGATTCACCGCAAGAACATGGTCCACTTCACAGGTTTTTGCGCAAGTACAGTGATTCTTGCTCGTGCAATGCAAACCTTTGAAGGGCCCCTTTTTCTTGTCTCCGGTGGTGGTTTCTCCTGAAATCAAGCACCCCAGTTCCGATGCCCTCCATGCCAAATACGCTGAAACTTCCACTAGGGATTTGAAGGATTTGGAAGAGACGCATAAGACAACTGCAGTTTGGAGGAACTCATGCAAGCAAATGCCACAAATCCCCTTTTCAGGCCACTTTTCAAGTACTCCTTTCTTTAAAAAGAATAACATACAGAAACTCTAGATTGCAAAGTCCAGTGTTCTCTTCTGTTGACTCGGAGGTGCCCTGCAAAGGCGAGTCCGCCAATGGATGTTGATGTAAGTCTCTTGAGTAGGCATGTGTGTGAGCGAGTGTGTCATGAGAAGCCGGATTTTTGGTAAACCTCCAGCCTCGTCAGGGTCCCTCTTGGGGAGAACGCCAAGATATGTTGCACCAAAACCCTTTCCCCACAAATTCAGAAAACAATACTGGTGTACACAAAATTGGTTTCGACATGGTTTGAGGTATGAACAAAGGATTGACCTAACCCTGGCAAGGGATACCGAGAAAGTACCTGGAATTTCCCCTGAGTCGACTCGACAAGGGGGCGGAGGCCTGCAAGTTTGCCTTTAGAAAGGTTCTCTAGGTGCCCCAGTAGTGCCCTTTTACCGTTTCTTTGTTGGGGGAGGGTTCCCTTACTAAAATAGACAAAAAAAAAAACGGGTACCCTTATTCTAACCTTTGTACTGGAGGACCTAGTTCTTGAAATAGCTTTCTCTACCCAAAAGGCGTCAACAAAAGACAGCCCCGCTGAAGCCCTTGGCGTTTGTCTTTGGGTTGCGAGTCCCGGAAGCTTGGAAGAGCTCGCCCTACGGCGCAGAGACTGGATGCCGGGCGCGCACTCTCTCCGCATGGTTGTGGACACGTGGCTATGTTTTGTTTTTTCTTTTTTCTATCTGAGAAAACATGCCCATGTTTGATTTCCCCTTTCTAGGACTTGGTGTGGACCTCAACATAAGAAGACGCAGGGGTCCCCCAGCTGCGATCTACTCGTTTCGGGACTTTAGAGCAACCCTCACTTTTCGTGATTCCCTGGACCATCCATTTTAGGTGAAAAGCAGAACATAGGAATGGGGATCCCGGGCTTCAAGAGAATCGAGCTTGTCCACAACCAGAGTTGTTTTGTTTGTTCCTCTCGCTCTCAGACCCACTGAGTCAGTGAAACTTGGGTCTCTGATGCTAGATGCCACGTTTTGGGAAATAGGCAAGCTGAAGATTACTGCCAACCTACCATCCCAATCTACACATTCCCTCCCTGAAGGGGAGGTTCGGATCTGGAACTTTCGAACTGTCCTCGAACAAAGTCCAAATCACATCTATGCCAGATGTGTTTAGGGGTTCCTCACGAGTTCCGTTCGGTGCAGACTTGGGGTGGTATGTCCTTTATGGTTCACCCGTTTCAGTGGAACGCCTAGGGAGTAAAGGGAATCACATTTTCTCAACACATGGTGTACCACCCGTACCACCATACTCAATAGGTGACCATTCGGAAAAAAAGGTCTAGTTCTGGACTCCAAAGATGCGCCAAGCACCTGTATGTTGGCTTAGGAACCCATGTTTTGTTCTGGCAACGGAAGCTCCTTTAAGTTGAGACTCACAGATTCCATTAAGGTGCCAAAAAGAATACGGCACTTCACTCTTCGTTGCGGCTTGTTGACCCCGCTTCTACTCTTGTTGCCTCATTTACTCTGATTTGCGCACCATGTTTGTGGACCTCCTGTTGCCGAAGCCTTTTTCGGCCATTGCCCACTGAAGAAGTGACTCAGCAGGTCTGCGCCAGGCAGTCTACTGCCGGCAAGTTGTTTGATGGACGGCGTTCGGCGTTGAGCGAGTTCAGAGGACGAACGAGTGTTTTTGCCAAGCAATCGCTCGCATAGCTACAGTGCGTTTGTGAAGCCTGAATGGTTCCCTTGCGAGATTTGTATCAACCCAAGCCATGGGAAGCGCCTAGTCACCAATGGTAACTAGCGAATCAGTGTATTGGTAAGGGTCAAGGACGCCCCTAGGGTTAGTGAACCTTTAGGGTGACAGCAATTACCCAGCCAAGTGGTACCCCTGTTCCATTTATTGGAAGGGCTTTCCAATCTAAAATGGGTGCCCAGTTTTTCTCCCATAGTTGGGATTCTGATATAAGGCTACAGTAGATGAAAAGGGGCTTGATGTTTTGCAGGGCGCACTTCGACCATTCGAGCTCCGGCAACTTCCCTGGTTGCTGATATTTAGTGGGCTAGGCTGTTTGCCGCAAAAGCGGCGCGTGCAGAAAATGTGTTTCGTGCGTGAGCAGAGCAGCTCGATGATTCGGGGGGTATTGCGAGCGCGCTTGGCGGATGGGGATCCCTTTCAGCATATGGGTGTGGGTCAAAATTAAACCACCAGGAATTGGACCGCAGGTTTTAGTCCATGGTTCCATTTGCCAGGGATGCATTTTGGATACCTCTTTTTCACCCACAGCCATATCATGTTCAGACTTAGCTTGCCGTTTCAACGCCTTTTTCATTCAATCATTGTGCCTTTCAAGCGGCATTTGTTCTTGGCCAGGGGGTCTAAGTCTGGTCAAGATGCGATGAGTTGGAAGTACTGCACATAAGGCACCAGGCGAAGGTGAACTGTCTATATGCCTGCAAACAGTGGTGGTGTAGAACATACCCTCCCACCAGCTAACATGGAAGTGCACAGACCCCTGTAGAAAGACTATTTTCCTCTTGGAAGGAGCCTTTTGGCACTTCCATGTTAGTTGGTGGGAGGGTAATTTGCGCAAGTCTCAGTTGCCCAAAGGTTGAGCTGACTAGGTTGAGCTGACTTGACTTCGAGGCTTCTCCAGCCAAGTAGCGTATGGACGAGGGCGGCGTATCCCCAGCGCAAGGACCCAATGAGGGGCGCTTCACCCCACATGCGTCGACCACTTTTGGGCGGGGGTCATCAAGTACTCACGCTTGCAAACCTCAAATTTCGGCCAAATGTGTCCATCGTTGTTTTTTTTTGGTTCTGCCCTCCCGCAGTCGGCACAGTTTTTTTGCCAGGTCTCGGCGTCTGGAAGGGCACGTTCCCCCCCCCCGCGTTTTGTCGGGTGAGCATTTCCATTGGTTCGACTGACGCCATTGGCTCGGTAGGGGAAAGAATCCGAAGCCTCCTGCCATGGCGCCGCTCGGAAGAAGACCTGCCGGCCATTCACCGGGCGTCTCCCACAAGAAACTGAAAACCTTTTCAGGGGTCTCTGATTTTGGGAACCCATTGCCTCCGTTTGGCTAGGAATATGGTTTATTTTCCAGCTGTTGGTTTTAAAAGGAATCTGTCACTACCTGAAATGATACTATTTTGTCCGGGGAACTTGAGCAGATGGAGGACTGTTGTTTTTGTTTGTTTTTTGTTGTTCTCCGACTCTACTCATCTCTATCACCATGCGTGTGATGTTTGAACAGGCACCCTTTGGTGGACATTGAGGGGATTCATGTCCGCCAACCAAGCTCCTTATTCAAATTCATAGCCATGCTTCACCTGTTTGTTATTCGGATACCTTGACGATACCAGCCGCAACCAGTCAAAAAGCGCCTTTACTCGCTGATTTCTTCATGTCTGCCCCGAGGTGAGAGTGTGCTGTACCGTTTGTAGTGATGGGTAAACTAGAGCGTCCAACACAGTTGCGGGGCTCGGGTTCTATCGCTTGCACAGCGAATGTTGACCCTTGACTAACCAACCCTCCAGTCCCAACAAAAAAAACTTCTAGAAAGGGAGCCCTCGGATCAACTGAGGGGTTACTAGGGGTCAACATTAGGCTGATCGAGGTCCAAACCCAATGCATTCCAAGCCCGAACTAGTCACTGAACTCATGGTAATCATACCAGGGGTTCATACATTGGTAAGTCTTTTTTTGAGGCTCGGACCCCCCTTTTTGGGCTTTAAACGGAAGCCATAAGGACAAGCATTTGGGGGTGTCGGATTCTTGAAAAAAACGTAGACATTCAGGCTTTGGAAAGCATGAGCTTAGCATCCCAAAGGCACCATTTTGTTGCAAGGCACATTCAAAGCGAGCTTCTTTTGGCGGCAGGCAAGGGTTTACTACTCCTTTGCTTTACATTGAACCCCAACAAGGATAAGCGTTTGAGGTACAGTATCTCCTTTTGTGGGATTCCCCTCAAAAATACAAACAAAACAACACACCAGCAACTTGTTTAAATTATGAGACCCCTGTCTTGCAGGTTCCTTCTGTATGTTCCTAGTTCACGAAACCGCTGAGGACCAAACCGGTGAAGTCTCTGGAGTCCGAGGAGCAGCGCGCCTCGGACTTGACTTTTTTGACTCCGCCCGACTTGAAGGCGACGAGGTGGGTGTTACTTTTTGGTTGACCCTGCTTCCTTTTTTAGGGGAGGGTTCCCTACTAAAATCGAACTCAGAAACAAGGGTACCCTTATTCTAACCTCTCCACTGGAGGACCTAGTTGACTCTACTCGGGCTCGGCTCTGTGAGTTTCCGGACTTGAGTCACTTTTTGGATCTGAACCATTTTAGCGGCAACGAATTTTTTTTCCACTCAGGAAGTGAGAGTAGGGAGGGCATCATTCCAAAAGTGGTGGTCCTATTGGGGGACACCCCCCCCCTATGTATCAACCAGGGTTCCCATTAGGCTTGTGATTGCTGCAGTTGGCACCCTAAAGCAGAAGGAGACTAGGTACACGCGCAATTGCTGGCCATGGTGTTTTTGGGCTCTGAACACTGGTTCAGTTCTTTGCATGCTGTCATTTCTAAGGGTTTGCATCGTTGGCCAAGCAGCATCTCCATTCCATTCCTTCATGCATCTCCACTGTAGGTCGATGCGCTGCACGCCAGCTCTGTGGTTGCCACGCCTTGTGTGGACACATTGTGCTGTTGATGTCTAAACTAATTGCCGCCTATCAGGCAAGCAGGCCGTGTTTACAACAAAATCCCAAAGAGGCTCGGCTGGCCACGTGCTGAAGTCAATCAAGCCATCTAGGATCTACAGGTCCACCAGAAACAAAACAATTTCAGCACGGGGTGGTGCCCGAATGTCACAAACGAGTATAACGACACGACAAAGCAACGTATCGTCACTCCGGCGCCCCATCCTGAACAGAACAGCTGCAACACTATGTCAGAGTCAGGAGCTGAACTGTGTGTGACATCATATAGCAACAAATTTGAAGAACTCGCCAGAGCCGTCTATGGCGCGTGTTCCAACTGGAGTCTCCAGGGTTATGGTCGCGGCCCCATCTTTCAAGGGTCTTGGAGCCTCCAGGAAATAATTTTGCAGATCTTCCTGTTTTGATAGGTACCTACTTCCTTTCTGGATACAGGTCCTTATCCCCCCTCAACATGGAATTGGGGAGCGGGGTGAGTATACAGCCGTGTTGACCAGACGAATGGAACTACAGTAGGGTCAATGACGATCATGGCTCGTGTCTTGGCAATGTCCCGTATCTTGTTGTTGGTAGATTCGGCGACTTCTGAGATGTCCCAGGATTTTGGGCAACAGGAGCATTTCATGCGTGAACATCTTTTGCGGCAGTCATTTATGTTGCCAAAACCGTGTTTTTGTTGCTGCGGCAACCTTTGGCATTGACGCGCTTATTGAGCAACAACTGTCAGCAGGGGTACGGCCCGGGGGACATGACCGGGTCACAACCGTCCAACGGCTCCAATTGGCATGTTTTCAATTCACTATATGAGTCAGCTTCGAAAGCTGGTAAGGCGGTCTACGCAAAGTCCATAGTAAAGAACCCACAGTCCCTTGCTTACCTTCCGGCTCACTTCCGGAGAGCCTTTCTTTTTAAGAGAACACGGGTGTCACTACCGAAGCATTTCATGAACATTCCATTGACTCCGGCATCATGTTCCCTCATTCCAAGAAATATGAACCGGTTCCAAAGACTACAGTGATCTTCAAAAGGCCGGTCCGCTTGCAACCAAGCAGCGCCCAACACCCATTCACTTTCGGTGCTACCAACTTGGCTGCAGAGGTTCATACAACAATTTCCTCAAATTAAACCCGGTAGTACTTGCAGAACTGCCTGCTAAAGTTGTCAATACGGGCTTCGGGCGCTCGCTTGAATTGAAACCACAAAAGAACGACCGAACTTGTGCCGCTGAACGTCATACATGGATTCAACATGGGTGTCAGGTTAATGTGAGTGGCCAATCAATTCCTAATAATTAGATTAAACTGAATGCTACAATCATGACTAACATTGGCTTAAAGTACCAAACCCACAACTTCATTCTAGTGACTTGGCCTACTTGAGTCCCTCGTCTTGGTACATCCATCGTCTCTCAGGGCTCCACCGCATCCGCATCACTCTGAGCAGCCGCGATGCCGGGGATCCCCGGAAACGGCCCGGATTCTTGAGGATCAGTACCCTGTTCAGGGTCGCTTTAAAGAGAAACATCGGACACCAACAAGAAACAGCCCATTTTGGAGGGTCCTATCCCGAATGGACACCTGCAGGACGTTCAAAGCAAGTTTCTGTGAAGTACCATGTTTTTGGGGATGGGAGATTTAATTAGCCTGGTTTTCACAGAAAGCGGGCATATGACGCTAGCTTATTTTACTAAGATACGTTCCCTATGTCTTATTTTGGGCCACATTTTCCCAGCACTCATTCCAGTCAAGGCGGGCCTTAGCGAAGCAGGCACAAGTTCTGGGCCCTTTCCGTGCGCCCCAAAACGGTCACGGCATGTTCGTTTGGTTGCGCGAAATGGAGCTCCTTTCCAGTCGCAGTTTTGGGTGGACCCCTTTAGCTTTGGTGGCCCAATTGAGTTGGACAGGAAAACCCAGGGGAAAATCATGGGGACCAGCCATTTTGTTTTCAATAAATGGCAACCACCAGTACCCCAACAACTGCTTTTCCCCTCTACGTAGGTCAATAATAGGTACCCCAAATGGACCCCTGGTAAATGGAAAGGAGCAACATCTGCAGTCCGTGGTTTAATTTTGACCCATGCCAACATGGCTGTGGGTCAAAACCAACGGTGCCATTTGGGGGTAGGGGAATTCACCACCCATTTTAGAACCTATTTTTGTGGTTGGATTGGGATGTTCACTGGGGGTACGGTCTTTTAACCCATGCCAATATGTCCAACACCTCAAGTACTGTCCCTTAAAGCCCTGAGCTGGTTACCCAGGTGGGACCCGTGGCTCATCTTCGGTCATATTTCTCAGGTCCGGGCGCTTGAGAAGGTCTGCTCCGACCTGGTCACCGGCGCCAAAGCCAAGGCGCCGCGGTCTGGTCTGGTCTGGTCTGGTCTTTCTGTCGGTCTGTCTCTCTATCTGTGTGTTTCATGAAAGTCAACTTAGGTGTGCTGAAATGAAGATGTGTTTTATTTTCCCTCGTTGGTTTGAAAGGGAATCTATCACGGACATATTTTTGTCCAGGGGGCTTAAGGACATGGAAGTAAAGGCTTTTAGACAAGTCAAGCCGGGGTTTCCTTCAAGTTTATGGTTCGGGTGTGAATACTTGGCTGTTCCGTGGTGTTGGTCGTTTTTGGGGTTTTGGGTTTAGTGTTTTTCTCCAACCCAGTAAAAGTGAAACGTCTAGCAGGGGGAGCTGTGGACAGCCCCAAATATGAGGCTGAAGCAAACCTTGAGTAGCCTTGCAGAGGTAGAATATCACCCTCTGGCCATGCTCGCCTTCTGGGTTTCATGGGTGTAGTAAGGCCTAAAGATGCCATAGCCATCTTGTCAGGACCAAAAGTCTATGGATTTTGGGCGCCAGGTTTTCCCCAAAAGGACATGTGTCAAAGTTGTCCTTTTGGTTTCTCTACAAACCAACCAGAAAAACGGAGCTTAATGCGTCTTTAGTACAGAGAATCCGTTCAAAATCATGTGTTGGATTTCCAAATGGCTTATCCGGGCGGCCTGCTGATCAGAAAGGATATAAACCACGCTTAAAAAGCAAATCACGTGAAGAATTGCACTGCATGACCCAAATATGGAAATACGTGAAGCTCCAACAGTACCATCCAAACGACCACCGCCAACCAATTTCCGACCGCCTTCCGACCACCTTCCAACCATCCCCGACCAGCCTTCAACCACGCAAGGCCACAGTGACGGGAACAGGCCCAAAACATGCCAAGTTCGCCGTTTGGGGCTACATTTAAGGAAAAGTGGGATTGAGCTTCATAATAATAAATTTTGGAAATGCAACAAAATCATGTCTATATGCTTGGAAGCTACTCCACCCAGTTCTTTAAGGCTCCCAGTGCATCCAAGGGCCCTTGTAGGCAACCAGGAACCAGCCAGTTTCTCCTATTGGTTTTGAGAGGGTGTTGTGTTTCTTGCTTACCCACACCTGGAGTCTCCAGGACCCTCAAAGAATGGGGTCATTACCCCAAATCAAGGGGTCATGCACCCATTTTTGTTGGGGTCGTGGAGACTCCAGGTAGAGGTTTTTTTTGGGATCCGCACCGGTCCGAACGACTCCTTCCCAGGACTTGAAGGTTGCAGGCCCAACCCGCCGCTGGCTCAGTCACCGAATTCGATTCGGGAGCGGGGGGGGGGGGACGAATTCCGAATTCGGGGGGGGGGGGAAGGAGTGGGAAAGCCATGGAACCGGTGCTTTACTTGGAAATGGATCCGGATCCTTCGTATTTCAAGACCTCCCACAATCGAGGGGCAAAGGGCTGGGCCTTCTTTCCATGTCTTCTGGGCAATTGAGCTTACTCGGTTGTTGAGTTGCCCCACATCAAACATGTGTGTTGGTCGGATTCGCTTATTGATCATTTGAGCAAGGGCAACCAGTATTCCCACACGCACGTGCACTTTTTCTGCGCGTGGTAAATTCAGCTCTGGGCCCGTTCTTTGTGCTGCGGGACGCAGAAACCGCGGGTCGCTTTGTCGCCGGTCAGGTCTCCCCACCAAGATCTTGCGGCTCATGGTGCGCAAGAGCCCTTGTGGAGAAGGCCGTTTTGGGGCCACCTTTTTCCCAGGGTCGGACGCCTCGGGAGGAGGCGCCTCCTGAATCCTGAATCCTGATGCCAGTTTTCCTTGCCGTACCGGTGTCCCACCGGGATGACCGATTCGGAGGGAGCCCATGTTGAACAGCGCGGCATTTGTGAGTCAAAGTAAGACCAGGTATCCCGGTCTCCAGCCCTTTGCAACCTCCTGGAACCCGAAAACGCCCCAAGCCCCGCCCATAGAGTTCAGCCGGTTGGCGATGAAATCAAACAGCTTTCTTGGTTGCCCAACATCGAAGTTCAACCTTTTTCCCCTAACAGCTGACAGCTTTGGGGTCTCAGCCCAGATAGGCTCCGGGGAGGTCCGGAGAGGTAAGGTTCCACCAGGTTTCCACCATGGTTCCACGAGGTTCTGCGAGACTAAAAAGAGCACCGCATGCTGTTGGGGATATCACCTGAGCTTATTTTTTGGGGTTCTCGAAATCGGGACCGGAAAATGTCCGTTCGGCGTCCCTTGATTAAATCGCCAACCCTAAGGTGGTTCGAATCATCTGGGTGTGGGTCAAAATTAGAGCTAGGGCAATCCGCAGGTTTTAGTCTTTGGTTCAGTACACCTTCGGTGCTATTCTTTGGAGCCACGGTCATTTTGAGATGACCTGGTGTAATCAAAACCGATTCGGGTAGATGAAGCTTTAGGGATTGACACAACCATAAATGGGTGCAGCCGCCTTTTTAATTATTTGCATGGTTCTGGGTAGAGCATTTGAATTTCGGGTGTTTGACTCAACTGAGGTTGTCCTTTTTTGAGGGTGCGAAACTTGGTTGGTTTTAAAGGGACACCACAAGGAGAACCACCATTCTGCGGTTCCTTTAAACAAAATGGTTGCAGACCCACGAGCAACTCAATTGTGCAAAGTCGATGTTTTCTAGTTAAGGTGTCCCAATTTCGACCAAATTCGCTGACCAGTTCTATGTTTTCATGTCGACGACATGTGGTGATGGCCATGGTCATGGCCCCTGTAGGAGTAACTCGCTTTTTTATTGCCTGGCCCTTGGTGCCGTTGAGGCTAAGAACAGAGTGAATCCAGGCCTCTACTAGGTCCCCCAGTAGTGCCCTTTTACCGTTTCTTTTTTGGGGGAGGGTTCCCCTGCTAAAATACACTACAGAAAAAGGGTATTGTTATTCTAACCTCTCTACTGGAGGACCCAGTCTAGGCAAAGGATAAGTTTGGCTCTTGTTTTGCTGCTTTGAGCCCAGTCATGGTGAATTGGGAATAGATTCGCATTGTGGCCAAGTCCAACTAAGGCATTGCGTCCCAGTTCTTGGCATGAGTCATGGTTTTTAGTTGTTTGCTTGTTTGGTTCTGGTCATCGCTAGCGAGGGGCTACGTTGGCTTTCCAATGACTTGGAAGATTACCAGTTAGGTGTTTGGCAGGGGGCTGGCGTCCTCAGTAATGACCAATGTTCAAACAGCCCCCGTGTTGTTCTACAAAGTAAATGTATCCAGGTCTGCGCAAGGCCAGGGCGTTTTGGGGTTCCATGTCAAGCCGCGGGAGTGTAAATCCCCTTTTTTTTCAGGCATCCCACAATCGCTGGTTTGAAAACTTTGAACCCCTGGCTCTTGTAAGGGGAATGAGAAACCACCAACGCGCTCCAACCCCCGCTTCAAACCACCAATAGAGTGAAGCTGATTTGTTTTGTCCAATTCCTCATCCCTCCATGGCGTTTTGGGGTCCTATGATCTGCCGGCCGTTTTGGGTGCCAGGCACCAACACCTTCGATCGCTGGGAGATGCGCATCCACAAGCGTCTCATCGACCTGCACTCGCCCTCGGATGCCTGGGGCTCAACAAGCGACACCAAGCCAAAGGAAACCAATCCCTGTTCGTTTGAGCACGAAAGCCACAAGACGTTGTTTCAAACAGGTGGTTGACCCGGCAAACCCAAAGCGCAAGCGAAAGGCACAGTGGCTTCAGCTATGGTTCAGCTGCTTGAATCGCCCCCAAGTTTGGTGCCGAGCCTTTGCCAGGACCCTTATACGAAGCAGGTTGGGGGTTGGAGAAATCGAATGGTACCGTATCTCCAGTCTCGTGGGCTCCACCCTGAAACATGGTGTGTGTGTGTGTTTGGTGGGTTCTCCGTTAAAAAAAGAAAGACATTAATCCAACAAACAACAAAGCTCCATTTCTCTTCGTGCCAAGGTCACTCAAGGTGAAGGTAGTCACCAGTTGTAAGTATGTGCGTGTGTGTGTTGGGCAGGTTAAGCAAATGGAAGCTTAACACAAACATGGTAAGATCATTGCTGCTTAAATACATATATATATATATATGTATATATTCATGTCATCGGACCCTGAAGCCGCCCATAGGAACTGCTGGAGGTGCGTCTTGGGACGACTTGAAGCTTACGGCGGAAGGAGCGAAGACGCAACCAGTCCTCAGTGGCAACCAGCGAATCCTGCACTCATTGCCAGTTGGTTTTCCTTGAGTTTACCTTTATAGCACGCCTATTCTAATGACTTAGGCTGTTGAAGTACATCGTATGTGTCAACATGGGGAAACCCATGTCGGTGTGCCTCTTGATTTCCCTTGAACCCCACTCTGAAAAGGCAACCGCAAGGTAAACACGAACACATCTAGGGCGACTGAGGTAACCCTGAGACAGCGGCTTTCTCTCCCCCCCTTAACGGTGGGAAGATTCGCAGCCCCTGAACTATGACCCGTATGGGCTTGTGTGCGCGTGCGAGTGGGTTCTTTTCGCGGGCACTCTTTTCCGGGGAAACCAACAATAGGAATATCAGGTTTTCCCTGCCCCCCACATACCCATAGTAAGCGCCGCATCCTCGCCCGCGATCAATGTTTTTTTATTCATTTGTTTTTTCTTTTTGTTTAAATATATACATGAGGGCCGTCCTAAAACCCCAGTCTTCGGTTTTAGTTGTCTCCGAAAAGGGAGAAGTAAAAGTTGTCAAAAGCTTTGCGCGCGCAAGGAGCGCGCATATGATGGATCCTTGCTAAAACCGAAGGTTTCCAGCTCCCCTTGGTTTCCCCCATGGCCATTGGTACTGCGTGGTTTGTCTAAAATGTGTCCTTTGCCTTTTACTTTGAATAATAGCTTTTCGTGTTTGCCTTTTGTGTTACCTTTCGGCTCGCCATGCGTTCCATGTTGATTTTCCTTCTGGTCTTTCGATGTACCCTCCTGTCCACCAACATGGAACCCGCCGGATGGTCGGATGGTCCCTGCTCAAGCAAAATCTGGTCTTCCAGCACCCCTTTGTCAGGTTCCATGTTTGATGGCAGAGTATTGGCTCCTTTCGCCAGTTAATCCCTACCAAAGTCTCCCGCGAACCTTTTTTCCCCCACACCCGGATGCGCGAGCCCGGACCCAAACCGAACCGCTGGGGAAGGACGTGCAAAACCCAGGCAGATGGAGGGTAAAGGAGAGTCCACTCAGAACAGGTGCAAGCATCCGCCCTTTTAACTCTGTACGCTTGTAACTCTTTACATGGGGCCCCACATACTCTTGGGTAGACCAACTGTGCCAGGTATTCTTCACAGTTCTTGGCAGTTTTTTTGGTTTTAAGAAATAGTTTTTTTTTTTTTTTTTTTCTCTTTCCGTCTGTTCATGTTTTGCTTGGGGGCTGCAACAACACATGTTTGTTGCAAGACCATGCCAAGAGTTGTAGCGTTTTGCGTGTGGCTCATGTGTCTCGTTTCTGTTCACTTCGGAGGTTGTGAAGCAGATCACCTCCATCTCCATTGAGCACCTGGCCCAGGATGTGCAGGACCTGATGTCTAAGATAGCCTCCCACCAATTACCATGGAACCTGACGTTAAAGGGACCCGGTCCCTTTAAATGGAAAATCCTCCAAACCAGGACACCGGTCAGATCATCTAAGATGGTTTCCACCCGTCAACCCACTACCCCAGACACAAACGTGGATTTGTGACTGCTATATTATACAGCCAGTGTACAAAGGACTTGCACCCTTGTACCCAATCTCCCCCGTGCGGGTGGCATGTGGGTAGAAACTACCCTAATTCACATGGAGCCGGACGTCCGGCTTTAGGTTTTCCAGCTGCGACCAGTTTCGCTGGGCTGATTGGTTGACTGTCTTCAACGATCAAAGTCGAGTCGGAAGGGGTCACTGGCCTTTGGCGATTACCATTGGTGACTTTGGGGAAAAAACATCGGCTTTGGCCATGGCATGACAGTTCAAGCGTCGATTTCCGGGTAAGCTGCAGTTGCCGCACAAGCTGTCGTTTGAGCTCCTCGGGGGCGCCATTAAGTTTGTAAGAGCCAGTGCGTGACAAAACACGGCAGTGATATACTGTTCTTGGAGCGTACCACAGGTGTGTTTGGGTATGTGTGCGCTGCTATGTTTTGTACTACCACCAAGGAATCAAATGCCCTCAACAAAGGTCACCATTTGTTTTCAGGTTCTTTGGGCACCGGGGTCTTTGCAGGGGAGCCGTTTGTTTGTGACTCGAAGTGACAACGTGGTCGTGGAGCTCCCACTGTCCAAAAACCGAAGACCGCAGGGGTCAGCATAGGTGTCCTTGTTAGGTTGGTTTGGCGAAGATGGCGCTGGTTTAGGGTCAGGGGTTAACAAGCCCTCAAGGCCGAATTGCGTCCTTCGAGGCGACTGAATGGTTCAAACGTAGGTATCCTCCCACCAATTAGCATGCATCCTGACGTTCGGGGGGTCCTGGTTTGGACATTGGACCATTTTCCTTTTAAAAGGACCCCGAACGTCAGGTTCCATGTTAATGGGAAGGCAACCGTTTTGGTCTTTTGCCCCTTTGTGGTTGGTTCATTCTCAGCCATCAGCCAGCCACAAAGCTCAACTTGTCCTATGTGTCCAAGTCTAAGCGCCTCACGGTCCGCGTCCTGAAAAATCCCCCAAGGGCCGATTCTAGCGCTCGAATCGGAGGCCCGGAGTGGAAGTCGTGTGGATCCCAGTGTGGAAAGCGAGAGTGAGGTGCAGCCATGTCCGGCATTGCAACCCCAAGGTTCCTTAACACTCACATCACAAGTTTCTGGACTTGTTTCTGCAAAGACCACTTGTGTTGCAAACTCAGCCAGATTTGTGTCCCATCCACTCACAAAGTGAGTATTGTTTTTTTCAATCAGTCGTCCATGTGGGAGGGGCACTTGGGGGGGACTCAATGATGTGCCCATGTCTATTCTGGGGTCCGCGTATTTTGATCGTCAGATGTCCATAGGGTGGCTAAAACATCACCGTTTGATTGCCAATTTGGATTGGTGTTCTCCTTGAGGGGGCATGCAGGAGACATGTAAGACTTCTGCAAATCTGCAAATTGGGCAACACCCAAGGATACCCCCCGACCGAAAGACAGAAGAACATCACACCCATACCCCCGCACAAGTTGGTTTTGAAGGCAATAGAGAAGCCGAGCTAGACGGAGTTTTCCGGGAGCCAGGGGCATTTGACTTGCACTGGCTCTTTGGTCCCCCATTCCGGGGGGGGGGGGTAGGGGTATGATGGACACTGGACACTTAAGGTCTATTTTGCAACCAACTTCTTGTAGGATATTGGTTTGTAGTTGAAAAATGACGGCAATATAGGCAATAGAGAAGCCGAGCTCGCTGGAGTTTTCTGGGAATATCCTACAAGAAGTTGGTTGCAACATAGACCTTAAGAGTCCAGATGCCCCTGGGTCACCGGGGGTATGAGGTTCTTTCAAAGGGTGTCCCGTCAAATATGGATAGCTCAGGTCAAGCCGAGTGTTCTGTTAAAGGGGGGGGGGGTTGCAGGGGGGGAGGAAGGGTTGCCGTCCGACCCATCAAAGGACGCCAGTCCCACAGAAGGCCCCGTGTAAAGCGCTCTTTGACGGCTGCCACTGTCCCAACCAGCCCCACTTTGCCCAAGAGAAAGTGCCGCAAACCAGCATAGGGCTATCAATTTCCTTGGACTCTTTGGACACGGATTCATGTCGTGACAGGTTTGGGCTTGGTTGCGTGCTAGCGCCGGCTGCCATTCAGGAAGTCACCATTGCCGATCTGTGAGCGAAATCGCCGGCGATTTCTCGCACTTTGGAAGGGCTGGGAGGCAAAACGTGCGAGGGTTTTCGTGACGCAAGAAGGACTCAGGTCTAAATATGGGTGGGTCTTTGTTTAGGGGATCCACAAAATGGTGTTGTTTCCTTTACCAACAAGGGGTTCCTCCGCCTCAAAAAAAAGAAGAAGAAACAGAGACACCCATATGAAGGCCTAGTGAAGTCTTAATCACAAAGGAATCATGTGCAAACTCGCCCCTTACCTGAAATCTGCCCCCATCCCCGCTACCCAGTCCCTTCTCTGGTTGTGCAATAGTTTGACATGCGTCCGTAGTGCCTCTGGCGAAAATTTTGCACCCCGGACCACGAAAAGACGACCACATGGCGCCAGATGTAGCTACCCGAGATGTTTTTTGCCTCAACGAGCCCTTTTTCCCGAAGATGTCCCACCCTGGGAAGGGGTCCCTATGTTCAAGCGACTCAGCAAGTAGGCTACAAGTTAAAACCGGAGTTCTAAGCTCTGGGTTGCTGGAGTTCGTCCCCGCAGCTAGAAGCTATGGAACACCCAGGCAGACTAAGGCCTTAGGCTGCGAGGTTGAGCGGGTTCCCGCAGCTTGGCGAGGAATCCACCCCTCAGGGAGTCACCATTGGAAATGAAGCATCAGGGACGCTTCAAGCGTTCTCCCCTGGCGGTTTCAATCATCTCCTTTTGAGCCAGTGCAAAGGTGCATGTCCTCTTGGCCGAGTGGTGTTCGAAGTCGAAATTCCCGCAGCCCAGTGACAATTAGTGACTACTAGAGCTCAATCGGGGGCTGATAGGAACCATTAAGGGCCATGTTCCTCCCAATTCCCCCGAATTGGCCCTGCAATACTAGTCTTCCCGCCGGGGTGTATTTCTGGGGGTGGTGTTTTTGGAAGCTCCCCAGAGTGGCGTATGATACGCACGGTTGCGCGTCTCCCGCCTTCCGTTGGCTCCGACAAGTCGGGGCGAACCTTTGCAACTCAAAGAGACATGGCGCCGGGGGGCTCAGCGAGCGTCGCTAAGCCAAAGGGTTGATCTGGGAACCTCCACGCGTACTCTGCAGCCTGGGACCCTCAAAGGAACCCTTTGTTGTGCCTTTGTACTCCTTTTTTGTGGGTCAAAGGCGAACAAAAAGGGTTCTTTGGATTCAGAACTGAAGGTCGGCAAAATTGGAAGCTTGATACAAACATGTTTGTTGGGGCCAAGTAATTACTTAATGCCCAAGTCCAACCCCTTGTTGCTGCCTATGGCAAGCGAGTCTACTACTCTGGGGATTAACACAACCCATGATGTAGGTTATTTAGCTGTTTTTTGGGCTGGGCTAAGTTCTGATAGGCAGCAGCACTCTCCTTGCCCATTTTGTTTTGGGATCCTTTTCTTTTTGACCACCGGCAGCCAAGACCCCGGCCAAAATGAGGTTGTTTTGTCTGATAGAACGCATGAGGTACCAGGCACCCTTCCTCTTCAACAAGGTTTAGTCAAACAGATGAGGAATTATCTCTTAGATGAGTGAGCTTATCAGCTTACCCTCTAGTGATTTGGATGGCTTAGAGAGTTGAAGGCTTTTGAGGTGTAGAGGCAGACCTCCCAAACCAATCCAAGCTACAGGTTGGGGGTTACGAGGTTCGGGCTTCCGGAAATTGGCTCGGAGTGGTTCGGACCTGGGGCTTAGACTAGGTTTTGCAGTAGTGCCCTTTGACCAACTTTTTTGGGGAGGGTTCCCCTACTAAAGTAGACCACAGAAAAAAGTTGGTACCCTTATTCTAACCCCTCTACTGGAGGCTACCGGCCGGTGAGGTTTCAGACTCAAACCGCAGACCGCTGAGGACCAAACCCGTGAAGTCCCTGGAGTCCGAGGAGCAGCGTAGCTCGGACTTGAAAGAGAGAGAGAGAGAGAGAGAGGGAGACAAAAAGGCATACCCAAGTGAGGAAGGGAAGGGTCTCTGAATGGGTGTGTATGTGTGTATGCGTGTAGATGTGTGTGTGTGTGTGTGCGCGTGCGGGCGTGGTCGGTGCGTGTTTTGCTTTGGAGAGATTGGTTTAGATGCAACCGAAAGTAAAAAAAAATCCACAGATTTTGGGGTTAGCCCCTTGTTTGACACAACGGTTGAGCAAAAGCTATTTAAACAATCAGGCCTTGTGCATCAACAGTTTGAGGGGGACAGTAACTTACCTTGATTGATTTTGCAGTGTTATTGTTTTATTCATGGCTCAAATTAAGTTTCAAGCTTTGTGAATTCAGCTCAGAATCAGTGCACCCCCCCCCACAAAAAAAAAGAGAGAAGTTCCCTAAGCCACACCAAAAGGGGCATGGAAGGACGGGAGATGCTCGGGTTGGGCCAATTTCGCCGTCGTCTCCCGCGAAACGGCGAAACGGCCAGGCCTTCTTGGACCCGTCAAGCAGCGCTAGTTGGGTTCGAGGGTACCTCCCCTTTGGGTTTGCTTAAAGGGAAGTCCACACATCAACTAGATTCGGGGTACCCTTTGGACGCAAACCCATTGGGTGTGTCGTAAAACACGGGATATCCCTAAGACGGTTTTACTTTGCTTTCTCTTTGAACCAACACCGCAAAGGGTACCCAGCCTCGCAAGAAGATACCCAAATCCATCGGATATGACAGAGGTGTCCAGCTCGCCGTGGGCGAAAACCTGCCTGCTTGGTATGCGGAGGGCGAGGCTTCCCTCGTTTTAATCCCCAGAAACGCAGGTTAACGTGAAACCCAGCAACCATCCGTTTTGAGGAACAAGAAGCTCAAAGGAAGAAGCCATGTCGTTTCTTGCTGGGTATCATTAATGTTCAGACAGTTACACCTTAACCCTCAATCAAACCAGGATGATGATGATGATGATGATGATGATGATGATGATGATGATGATGATGATGATGATGATGATGATGATGATGATGTTGATGTCTATGATGACTCTGCTGACTCTGCTGACTATGATGTTATGATGTCATGATGTTATGAGATGATGGTGTTATTGAGCTGTCCTTGTATTATTTCTGTTGCTATTTATGAAAGTGACTGTTCGGAGACTTTGCATGGACTCCTCAGGGCTCCACCGCATCCGCATCACCCTGAGCAGCCGCGATGCCAGGGTCTCAACGAAAGAGAGCCGAGGATTCGACGCTTTGGGGCACACGTGGTTCTTTTTGGGTGGTGGTTTAAAGGGAAACAAAAAGGACCACCATTTTGGGGTCTCCTAACAAAGGACACTCTATTTGGGGTCCCCACCGAAGTGGCAGAGTTGAAACCCAGGTAACTAGCTACCCACGTTTAGCGTTCAAAGAGGGAGCGGTTCAGAAGCTGCCAGCTACCAGGAGTTGCAAGTCTCCGTTTAACTGGGGTTTCCTCCAAAATCATGTCATTCGATGCCATGGAAATCTCAGGTGCGCGTGTGGGAAACCACTCCAGCCAGTTGTGCACCTCCAATTCATTGTAAAGCATATGAGTTGACAAGGAGGTACCGGTGCTACAAATATGTTCAAGATAAGTAGCCAGGAAAAACTTTGCGAAAACGTGACCATGGCTCATACGGATGTGTATTTTCGGAGTTGGTACCCCTTTCGAGGCTCTTTTTTTTTAGCGTGGAAACCGAAGAGAGGATCATTTTTGAGGCTTCCTCATTGAGAGAGACACCCCCACGTATGTTCGGTCTTTGGTCCATTTGAGCCAATTGATGGATGCGCGATGCATGGCACATACAAAAAGCCGACGCAATCTTCGCTTCTAGAGGCTTGAAGGGTACCCTAGCAGTACCTTGTTGAGGGTACCTGCCGGTTCACGATGGCAGGTTTTTCCTTTTCGGGGGCCACTTTCTGTGATACCAAGGATTCGCACTCCCTTCAAAGTGACCAAACGTCGTCATGCGGATGGCCAAGTTGGTATCACAGAACAGCTCCGTGACCGTTTTCAACCTGGGCTTACCCAAGAGAAAGGTGTCATGGAATTCTCCCATGCTTGAACTAGGTCCCCCAGTAGTGCCCTTGTACCCTTTGTTGGGGGAGGGTTCTCCTAGTAAAAAAGACCACAGAAAAAAGGAAAAAAACAAAAACAGTTAGTAGCCTTATTCTAACCTCTCTACTGGAGGACCTAGATGGAATTCTCCCATGTTTGAAGGTCAGGGGGAATGCAGGTCATGGCCAAGTCTTTCGTTTCAAACAAAGCGCTTCAGTCTGAGGTGCGGGCGCTTGAGAAGGTTTGCGCGGACCTGGTGACCGGTGCCAAAGCCAAGGACCCGAACGGAAGTTTTGAGGGCCGTTTCGCAGATGGGCGATGGGTCTCGTCAGGAGCAACGTGTATAAGGCAGACTCGAAATATGAAGAATCGGGACATATGATTCTTGGTGTACCCCGAAGTTGGGCGAAGTAAGTAAAGTTGACTCGGTCATATGCTCAAGGCTCAGGGTTTAGAGGATTTTAGAGGTGCTTCAGATCAAAGGTGTTAATTTTGAAGGCGCCTTCCAGATGCTTTTCTGGGAAAATAATCCAGGGGTTGGGTCCCAAGTGTGCAAACCCTCGAGGGTGTCCAATTTGATTTCCTCAAGGGAATCGTTCAATTGGGAAACGCTGTCTGGAACAGCCCAGGTTGGGACCTCATTTAGTCTTTTGCCAACAGGCCATTGCTATTTGCTGCCCAAGAAGAAAACAGTACATACGCCTTTCATGCCATGTACATTGGGGGGCAGGTCCAGTGACAAGAAGCCAAAAAACGTTTCCTCAGCCGTGAAACCAGACCGAAGGCCATTTTGGCCATGTACGGCCGTCTACCTACTGTGGGATATACAGGTTGGAGGCATTTAGGGTACACCCGCCGGTCCAAGATGACCAGATTTCAGTTGATTTCCCTTCAAAGGCAAACTACTTGCTCTCCCTTAAAGAATTGGTTGAGGTGGGGTGCTATTGGGAGGATCCTCGGCCCGATTCTACCGTGAGAGTTCGCGAAACACGCCACGCATTGTCTCCGGTTTTTGTTCGACCTCTGACCGGAAGGGGGGGGGGAGCTTTGCAAGCAGAGGATTCACAAATGCTTGCCATTGCAGAATAGGGCGCTCCACGCGAATTGTATGCTTTGGAACACTGAACTGCTCAGTCTGCGACTATTCAGCTCCCTCTGCAGAGAAGGGCTCCGCACCCGAGACTAGTTGCAACTTGCAGGCCGTTCTTAACTTCTGGCACCGGCTCACGTTTCAGAGAAAATGCAGTTTAGCTCTGAGTACCTTGAGTACTTCCCAATGGGTAAGTATTTAAGGTGTTGTTTTTGTCGCATCTTGCAGGCAAGCAAATCATGGAGTCTGAACTCCTCCGTGGATCGGGTTGCATTTGTTTGTTTCCTTCTCCAGCTGCCCCACCCCCTTTTGCAGCAAGCTAAACGAAAAGCTGTTCGGTGGTCTTGAATGTGAAGAGCATGGAGACCAACAGCGGTTGAGGATAAAGTACTGTGACGCCATGGGCAATTCGGCACTTGAGCCATCTGCACGGTTGGGGAAAAAGTGATTTTGTTGGTCAAAAGTGCGTAACTCTGAAAATCCTCACTTTCGTGTTTCAGCTCCAATGCTCCATGACACGGGAAGTCCCTTGTCAAAGTCTAGGTCCCCCAGTAGTGCCCTTTTACCCTTTTCTGTTGGGGGAGGGTTTTTCTATTAAAATAGAGTGCAGAGAAAAACAAAGGCACCCTAGCTTATTCTAGCCTCTCTACTGGAGCACCTGGAAGTACAAGGTCGCTGGGATGACTTACAGACTTCGGGTCGTTTCTCCTGCGAGGACTTGAAGGTGGCTGGACCCACCCGCCCCGGACCTCAGAGTCGGAAAGCTGAGCAGCTGGGAGGGGCCCAAGTATTCCACTTCTAGGTTTCTCAGTGCCCTGCTTCCCCCTTTTTTGGTTGGGAGGGTTCCCCCTACTAAAATAGACTACAGCAAAAAAGGGGTGCCCTTATTCTAACCTCTCTACTGGAGGAGTTAGACTTAGATGGTTCGGGGGTTAGCGAAGTGCTCAGTAATTCCACTTGGTGAGGGCTTACGGGGGTCCATTCGGGACTAAATTGGGGGTTCATGGCCACTTACCTATCTCTCAGACCAGGCAACTCCCCTGAGGTTATCTGAAGGAACCTCAATATTCCTTTTCAACGGAACCTCCTCGTCACATGGTCCTTGAACTATGGTTGACTGAAAGAATGTGTCCAGAGGTTGACCCAACATTCCACAACTCACTCCCGGAGTTTATGGATTTCAAACTTTTTGGGAAGACCATTTTAGTGGCATACCAAACGTGTGTGAGCTTATGTTTGGCCCATCCACTCAATCGAAAGTGAGACAAAATGGGTGAAGGCCACCCTAGCCACAATCAAACCCAGACGAAGGAGAGGGACAGCGCGTGCGCGGCCACGAGCCCTTTTGCTGTTTTCAGGCTTGGGGTAGACCCATTTAGTACCAGGTTTTGATTATGACTCAGTGGGAGCATAATCTAGTAAGGCTTATAAATGAAGATTTTATGGGTTTCATTTCTGTTCCATGTTCTACTATGTTCAATCATGCTTCTGTTCAGACGCCTGCCGCCCTACAGGTTAACATGCAACCTTAAACCCCATCGAGCACCCATCTGTTTTGTAAGGAACGGAATCACCTTTTGGGAGAAAGCGACATCATGTTTATGTGCAGGAGTGCAACTCCTACTTCGTTTCTGGGATCCTCCTTTCAAGAACACCTGTCAAAATCAGGGGACATTCCGCTGTTGGGGTGTTCTTTGCAGCGCAGGCTAATGCCTTCTTTGGCGAGCTGGGCTAGCAACTAGCTGTTTACATTGCAATTTCCTTTCTTGGTTGGAATGCAGGAACCCGCTCGATATTAATATGTTTACTCTGCGCGTTCTGACTCTTATCCGGGGCGTTTAGACCACTCCCAGTCCCGAAGTGATTCCCTTCAAAGTGATAAATACAGTCATGGGGATGGGGCACTCTGGTATCACAGACATGGTGATGTTCCGCACCCATGTTTCTTGCAAGCACTTTTTAGGCCCAGCATTCTTGTGCCCCCTCTCCCCCTGGAGGCCTCCCGACCAAGATCTTGCGCCTCATGGTGCGCAAGAGTCCTTGCGGAGAAGGCCACCGAAACTGAGTCTGAGCCAGTGAAAACCTAGGTATGTCAAGGGACGACTCCAACCATAGATCGGCTTGGCATCTGGTTGTTTTTGATTACATGGTTTGGGGCGGACCACTTCAATGAATGCCAGTTTTAGACTGTGACTCCCATGGTGGCACACAGTTTATTGATTCTTGGCAAATCTTTGTAATCTGTCCAGAGGAACAGCAGGGCTTGTTTTTGTCGCCAGCCACATTGTAACACGATGAACAATTTGCATGTTCTGCTTTTTTTTTTTCCGCCGAGAAAGACGTGTTCCCACCAAAAGCAGCACGTAGGTATCTTTTGGCAGCCCTGCGAAGAGATGAGTTGAAACTTTTTCATGGTGGACTGGTAGATTTGTGTGTTCTCCTGGATCATTTGTTTGCCCCCTAAAGTCTTGGGACCTCAGAAGGTTCGGTTGGACATGTTGGGCCGAGGTCTCCAATGGAGGGTCCAACGATGCTTAGGGACACCTGATTGATGCTTTTTATTTTACTTGAATGTTTGTTTTATCATGGGCGTTGGAACATCGGAATACTTGATGCAGCTATATTTAGTTTCTCCAAATACACTAGGGCATTCAGACAAAAAGGAAGGCGACCGGTTCGAGAGGTCGATTACAACACGTCTTGCCTGATAATAGAGGGCTTGTCGGGGCCGAGAAAGCGGGCGGCAGGTGCTCACTTGGTTTGTCCCAAAGGATATGTTAGCTTTTTGAACAACATGAGCAAGCTACAGCAAGCTCAGCCGGGTAAACCATGCTCATTTATGATGAAGGTCTCTGAGTTGGGGTCGTGCTTCTCTGCCAAAGTCGCAAACAGTGGACAGCACTGCGCAGTCAGTTGGACTAACCTTACTTCCTAGTAAAACAACTCAAGGTGCTACCCCAAGGCGCCCTTGGTCAAATACAGGTGATCCAAAACTGGAATGGAAAGAGTCAACTGGTCGCGGGCGAGTTTTTACTCACATCTCTCATACCCCAACAAACAGGAACAGGGTCGGTGGCACTTTCGGTATGGGGTTTGGGGGTATTCAGGGTGTATACCACTCAAGGTGCAAATAAATCTAAGTGTAGCTTCCCCATTCTTTCCAGGGATCCTTCTTTCTAGAAAACCACAAAAGACCATGGGAAACGGCTGGATTTCGAAAAGAACGATGTTTGAAAAGAATGTATTCCCCAGAATAACGCATTGCAAGCTACAGGAAGGTGTTACGCATCACCACCTCCAACACCCATACCTGAACATGTGGACGCTAGTGGCGCCCCATTTATCTATTATAACATTTCTAGGGGTTTCTCTTTAAAACCTGAAAAGAGTGGCCGTGTTTGGCCATGGACATCTGCTGAAGCTCTGGGAATCGCGTTTTCACAGGTTTCGGGAGGACCAAAAAGAGGGGATTTCCTGCAGAATGTCCTGTATCTCAAGGTGCCGTTTTCAGGTCACGAGGTCGAACGCCATTTTCGAATGCCAGGGACCAACACCTTCGATCGCTGGGAGATGCGCATCCACAAGCGCCTTATCGATCTGCACTCGCCCTCGGATGCGTGGGGCTGAGAGTGACAGGCTGACTCCCCACGGCTAAGGGATCAAAATCAAAAAGGCAATTGAACTGTAAGCATTTTGCTGTCATGTGTGTTATGATCATTGTCATTATTATTGCTGCTGCTGCTGCTGCTGCTGCTGCTACTACTACTACTACTACTACTACTACTACTACTACTACTACTGCAACAGGCAGTTCAACAGTATCTGCATGCCGCAGCGATATCGGGAGATTGCCCTGCAGGGGTCTATCTTTGCTCATCATGCTTCGGTTGGAGCTCGCTGCAGCAGCAATACTTTTACGGCTAGATCCTCAGCCTCAGAAGTTCAGTCTGCCACAGTCTGCCCGCAGACTGAACTTCTGATTGAGCCCGGCTACGGATCTCGCCGTGAAAGTATTGCTTGCTGCAGCGAGTGTGAGTACTCCCCGAAGCATTGGTTTCGTCCGACCCCGCCTGAAGAGAAATGCTCATTTCGTTGGGTCCCCCTCAGAAACCGTTGGTTTCCTTCTCCTGGTTGTGATTTAAATTAAGCAACCTTCAGGGTTTCCTCAAAACTAGACACCGATTTCTCCTAGATTATCGTGTGCCTTTTGTCATGTTCGTGGAATGGGTAGGCAAAACATGTGCTCAAGGCTACACGTCTCAACCCCTTCATGGGTCAAACTAGATTTCTCTACCTCGCAAATCAAACACCCACAAAAAAAGGGAGGGTCTGTTTTGGAAGCTTTTTTTTCCGGCCCATATATAGCCTTCAAAACAGGCTTTGGACCTTTCCAATACCAGGTTGTGTATTTCAGAACCTAGAACCAATACACCGGCAACAAACACAGAATGTTTTGGTACACCCACACACACACACCTTGAGGTAAGTGCTGCAGAGTCCTCAATTGGGCCCTTGCGGCCTGCCATATATCCAACACAAGGGACGTTCCTAAAAGGCAGCCAGCCTGAACCCCCAAAGAACTCAACTTTCTGCCTTTGACCCACACAAAAAGGGGTAGCTCAGGAGGGTCTGGAAAGTTTCTCTTTACAACGGTCGGAGCAACCCAGGTGGAATCCTTCTTTCCACGAGACGATTCGCCTGCCCGAGGTTTTTGTTCTTTCCTTGGGTATGAATTTGAAGAGTTGGAATTCCGTCAAAAGTGGTTGGTGGACACAAATTTTAACCTAAAATGATGTCCACCAAAGGGCCAGTTAAAACTCAAACAGCCTGAAAGGGGGGTACCTGCTGCCTGGAATACCGGAAGTGGGGAACCTGCAGGTTCCCACAAGCCTAGGAGGAAAGAAGCGTACCTTCGTTTCCATTGGTTGATCGCACGTATTTTGCGCCTCCAAAACGAACACATTGTTTAGGGTACCAGTGGGTTTTCCAAAGCCTTGCTGGTTCTCAGTAGATAGTAGAGAATGAGGGAAGTACCCCTACCAACCCTTCCCTAAGCCTTTAGCATTCCCTATTGAACACGAGCCAGAAACGGATGACATTGCTTATGACATGATGGGGTTCACTGTTTGCCTAGAGTGCTGACTGGAAGCACTGGATGTGCCTCACTTCTCACAGCAAAGCAACCGGATCTGACCTTCAGGATGTGCAACCTTGGTCTTTGTCGTCAAGATCCCGAGTAAAGGTGTCCTTTTTAGGTTGGTTTGGATAGAAATAGATGGGTTCCACTGGTTTAGATTGGTTTCATTCCATTTACCAGGGCCATCCTTTTTTTCCAAAAGGTTGTCTATGTTTCGGAAGTAGCGCCTTTGATTTCCAGGCCCTGTTGGCAGGTGGGTTTAGTTTGGTCCATGCTTTCAGTGGACCCCTTCTTCACCTTTTCCTGTTTCTGTCTCCTGCAAACAAGTCTCCTCCAAGAGATCCCTGTGGCCATGAGGGTGTATTCGGCCCCATGTTCACTTTTAGGAGTGTACCTTTGGGCCAAGTGAGGTAAGGTGTAGGTCGCAGGCATGTTCAAGATGGATCCCCTCAATTGACGTGCAATGAGCAGCGGGGACCATTTAGTGTCATGTTGTATTTAAAGGAACGACATTGGGTACACATGCCAAATTACCACTAGGACACCAGACATGGAAGACGCTCTACTCTGCAGATTAACACGGACCCCAAAAAACCGCAATTAGTGACCCCTTGTACTGGAAGGAAATCCCTTGGAAAAAGCAGGGGACAATCAGGGACCCCAAAGCCACCGGAGCACCCCTTTTCGGGATCGATATCAATGGGATCTCCTTGTGGGGGACTCCCCCGTTTTCCCTTTTCGGGAAATCACGCCAAATTTGTAGCCGAGTGTTGACCGTTCACATGCAAAAGTCGACTCAGGTTGTCAAGCAGATCACCTCCATCTCCATCGAGTCCACACCTCAGGATATGGGTGTTTTTTTTTTAGTTGGTCTCCATTTGCTTTGTGGCAAAGGGAAGGCAAGAGGAAAACCAACATTTTGGGGGGGGTCCCCTAAAGAAGGACACACCGAAATGAGTTTCGGGCAAATTGTTTGATTTGCCTGTGAGTGTGCCTTGGAATAGGAGACCTCAATATCAGCGTTCCCTTTTGGTTTCCTTGTCACCCATTCCCGAAATGGCTACCCACAAAAGGAAAGGCCCCTGTGGTCCTGCACGAGGGATACGGGAGGCTCCCTAAATTTCCCCAGGGGTCACCGGACAGTGCCAGGTGGATGGGTGCCAGGATGGGAACTGATGCCCATTTTGTGAATCCTTCACTCTGGGGCGGAAACAGTCATAGTTTGATCCGTCCAGGGTCGAAATATGGGATGAGGATCAACCTAGTGTAGACAGAGGCAACTATGTTTGAGCCGGTTCACACTAGTCTTACGATGTAGCACGCAAGACCATCAATATTTGCATCAATCACTGCCCTTGTGGCTAGTTCTTTGTGCTAAATTGCCCAACAGTTAACATGTTTAATTATCCCTGGCATGGATACTGTGAAGTTTTCGTGACCCCATATTCAGCACCCAGTTATGTTCTATTAGCCAGTCGGCCTCTCGCGGTGATTCGGACGCTCATGCAATCTTCAAGGCAACGTCGAACATATCATTTGAGGGTTCATCCTGTTGTGTTCAGAAGACGTCCAACACAAATCGTGAACCGTACAAACCTTGCGTTGGTGTCCTTGTTTAGAGGAAGCTGCAGAAACCCCAAGCAGTCAACGAGACCAGACTAGGTAAGCCCAAATCATATCCCTTATTACTATACCTTAATTGAGTCGGTGGCCAACGTTAGATGCCAACGCCAACCTTCTTGTTCGTTTTTCGCCTGAAATCGAGAACCTCGCAGTCTTGGTGCTTTTTGTTTCGTGTTGATTGGCCCTGGTGTGCTTTTGGCTTAAACAGATGGCACTAGACAAGGTTTGGCGCCTTAGATTCGGCCAGCGCGATGGATGTGCGACTAGAACTTTCATGGAGCCCCAACAAGCAGACATGGGCGTATGTCTCTAGGCCGAAACCCAGACTGTATGTCTCAAAATAAGGGGCCCCACATGGGTGATTTCCCTTTGAACTGTTTTTGATTTCGCTTTACACCCCACAAAGGAGAAACCTTTCCCATCGCCAATGTTGAGAGGCAGGCCCCGGACGTTTTAAAAATTGGCCGAGGCCCGGTGTGGAAGTCGTTGGGGGCCCAAGGCAATGAGTGAGTCAGTGCGAGACAGAGGAATGGAAGAAGGGAGACATGTCGTGGGATTTCTTTTGAACTAGTTCCACATCAGGGCTCCTTAAAAGATACATTTTGCCCATTTGAAACATGGCTTTTTCCACCAAAATAAGGGGACACCACCATTGACAAGGCAATGTTCAGGTGTATAATGTAAGGATCCCTGCACATCTTTTACCTTCTCGGTCGCCTCCGCTGGGCAGACAGATTTTGGCTCGGACTCTGAGCACGTTTTTCGGCGTACCCCAGTGGGTTCAGCTCAGGCTATGGAATCGACATAGCCATGTTTTGGTTGAGGAACCAAACGCGGCAGTCGATGCGGAGCCAACAGTAAATGGTTTAGGATTGTTTGTAATACCCCTTGGAGAATCCCCTTCAAAGGGATGAGGAAGTCATGGGATGGGAATCCTTTCATGGTATCACAGTAACAGTGCTGGTCGCTGGGCGGACCACTTGTTGATACCCTCTTGAAGGCAATGTACTTACAGCAACCCTTTCTCAGAATATGCGTTTTGGGGTCCTACAGGGAGACCAAAGGGACATTTGCCCAACATATGGAGGCTCCATATCTCATTTCAGCAATCAAAACCGTGCAAGTGATGGTGTGTCAGGGACAGTCCCAACCATAAATTGTTGCAGATATCTGCCCATTCAGTTCTTTGCATGCGTTTGGGTCTGGAGACGAACCTGTTTAGGCTGGCATGTGATGATTTCCACCATGCGTAGTGGAAACCCCAGCCCGCCTTCCAATGCATGCAGCAAACAGCAAATCCTTTCATGCTGGTGACAAATATGCTTTAGGGACAGTTTCTGTTATACCGAGGGAATCCCCTTTCACGTTACCAAGTTGTCATGGGAATCAGCCACGTTGGTGTCACAGGCAGGGTTATTTTCCGCAAACATGAGTCCTTCTCTTTACTGGGGCAGTCGGCCAATGCTTCACTGGGAGCACTAGTTGCCATGACACACAGAGATAAGGATCGCGCAGTTGGAACATGCGACTGCAAATCATCGGTTGATATGATCATGCACGGTCTTTGCAGCCATCCCGGTAGCAAGCGAAAGTCCATGGGTTTTGCGCATTGAATCCCATGCTCAGCTTTGCAATCCCAGTGGTATGACCTTGCCCTTGGTGGCTTGAGTTGGAGGTACGACGGTGAACCAGAGGTCAACATCCAACCTGGCCAAACGAAGTCGTGACCTCGCAAAAGTTGTGGTCTGAAATGATAACTTGAAGTTCCGTTCTTGCGGGGTCCCCTATTTCAGGTCGAATTATAATAGGTCACCCGGTCACCCTGACCGATGACCAGTTGAAGCCGCCAATCTAATTCACCAATCGACACTGCCATGCTTGGGTTGACCAGTCGAAGTACAGTGCAGCAATTCAAGCGGCCCAGGTGGGGATTTGTTACTCCAAAGAATCAAAGGGCAAAGGCCCCTGAAAGGGGGGAGGGGGATTGGGTGCGCGTTGATTAGGATGGCATTCCCTTATATGGGTGTGTCTTGTTTTTAGGCACCCCCCCCGCCCAAAAAAAAAAGAAACAAAGGTGGGTTCTCCTGTGGTTTCCCTTTACAGCCACAAAAAAAGGGGTACCCTCAAAAAGACACCAATATCAGTGTCTTTGGTCAACCCCTTTTGTGGGATATGTCAACTCGAATCGGCAAAAACGTGCATTCCAATGGCTGACTAAGGAAGTCACCATCGCTGATCTCTGAGAGGTTCGTTTTGTCTCCGACGTGCCTGTGGCAGGAAGGCGAAAAAGACACGGACATGTATGGGCTGCCTCTCGTCTAAACAGCTTTGAAAATAAAGTTAAACAAACGCTTCGGACAACTTGCTGGTGCTCACTAGAGAATGACCCAGGGTTTTGGGAATGAACTTAGGGTTTCCCGTAAAGGAAACGATAGGGGATTGTTTATAGCGGTCATTCCCTCCATCCCTGCTGCAACCAGCAAGACAAATGCTTTCGATGTTCAAACCTTTCTGGGGCCTCGACTCCGCTGGGACCCCGGACATTTGGGTTTCCGCCATGTTGTTTAGCCAGGAGCTCACCGTTTTGGTAGGGAGAAGTGTCAAGCTTGAGACCAAGCATCAAAAGTTTTCAGGCCTTGGGCTGGTCTCGCCTCTAGCGTCGGAAATGACATCAGTTTACAGCCGCCGGATATGTGTGCCCTTGTCAAAACACGGTATCAGAACGCTTTGTTATTAAAGGGGTGGCCTGGGTAAGGACGGTCATGAGTTCCTTCATGGGGCATTTTGATAACTATCAGGATGCTTGGCCAGCGGGAACCACCGGCCCAACCCAAATCCCCACGAAAAAGAAGGGAACGGGCTCCTTTGCCTATTCTTGAACGGGATGGTGGTTCTTACGTATTTTGTTGAACAAGCTCCGAACAGGGGAGTATATGGAGACCGCCTCAAGAGTGAACAGGGAGATCCCGCTTCAAACATTGATATTCCAGGCCACAAGTTGGACGGAGCCATGGGACGGTTGTGGCCCTTGATGGTCCTTAGTGGACCCTAGGCCACAAGTCGTCACTAATAGTCACCTCGCATATGAGAGAATTGGATGTTGCTGACTGGCTCAAGCGGCAGTCAGAGAACCAGCCATGGCGCCGGGGCCCTAGGTATCCTTCCAAATGCACAGCTGTGTCTTGCGAAGGTACTTGGAGTCTCCTTCTGACACTTTAAAACGTGGGGTCACCCAAAAGGAAGGCCCAAGGGGTCGTTTGATTCCCGATTCCCGGATCATATGGACTCCAGGCAATGTTTGGAAGGTTTTCAAGGCTAAGCAAACAAACCCAGGGGCTTTCGCCCACTCCGGGGGTAATACATGAAGGTTCCCCAGGTGGATTGAGGCACGGTTTCATTGCCAGACGCTCCCAACATTTCCGATCGGTTTTGAACATCACCTCGGGGAACTGATTTAAAGTGCGCCTTGGAGGGGACTCGTTGGACAAGTGCGCTTGCGCGTTTTTTTTGTTTTCTCATGTCTCCCTCAGTGTCCCTTGCAGCAATCAATCAGTGGACTTAGGCCGAGGTCCAGCCAAGAATCATTCGGGCGCCATTTCCTGTTGCTGCGCAACGCTTTGCCAGTCCGAGACTCTCAAACTGGCTGCCAAGCGGGTCATCGTCCGCTTGGGGTGTCCCTGGATATGGCGGGCGCGCGTTGGTTCGACGCTTCTGAGGACCAAACCCGTGAAGTCCTTGGAGTCGGAGGAGCAGCGCAGCTCGGACTCAAGCGATGCAGTCAGGCAATTGGGCCACAACCACCCGGAAGGAACTGAAATCCGGGGAAATGTTAGGGAACATGAGGGTGCCATGGTTGCTTCCGGTGCTAGGAGGGATCCAAATGGTATTCGTATTAATCTCGCAGTGGCGAGCAACACCTGAGAGAACAAAATTGGTTTGATCAGACAGGCCATGGACCCTTGGATGTAGATGGGCCTGTGTTGTCACGGGGATACCCTCTGGTTGGTTCAAAGGAAAACCAAAAGGAGAAGTCCAGTGTTGGGATAAACCAAATAGGACACATGCTGCCTTAGCGGTTCATACATGGCCCAAGGACGCCTGCAGTGGGGTAAGCGTTTGAAGTGTGTTCCTGCAGGCGCGATGTGTGTGTGTGTATGCGGGGTTTATTCTTATTGAGGAAAATACAAGTTAAACCGGAAGTCATTGTTCTTGGGCGTACTTGATTCTCAATTGAAACTATGTTTGGTCGGAGATCGGCGTTCGGATGCGGAAAACAAGAAAACATAATCGCCTTTTTGTGTGATGCAAGTGGCTCCCTATACATTGCAAACATTTTAATTAAACGCATGCAACAACAAAGCTTGCAGGGCTTTCTGTGTTCCCTTCTTGTGTATTTAGGGCATCCACCACCGTCGAGCCTCCGACGGATTGCTTGTCTTGAAAACTCCTTGCAGCAGATTGTACTTTGCGTCTCCAGTCTATTTCCTCGACAAAACAACCATTGTTCTTGTCTGCAGACACCAACAACGCATGACCTGGGTGTTCGGCAAGCCATTGTTGACAAGTCGGAAAGGAGACTCCAAGGCTTGACGCACACGTCTGATCCATCGGACTGAGGGCTCCACCGCATCCGCATCACCTTGAGCAGCCGCGACGCTGCTCGGCAGAAGCCAAAGAGGTCTCACTTCACATAGCGCAATCTCTATTGGCCGCGTGCAAATCAGTGGGCGCTGCACTTGCTGATGTTTTTGGGGCGTCTCTCCCTTGGGAAACCCAGTGCTGCAAAAGTGGTACATAAGCTTCGCGCATCCAAGCAACCCACCACTTGTTAACTTCAGACTGCAAAGGGGTTGTGCCGGACAAAACAAGTCGCTCCCAAGGTTTTTGGACTTCAGTCAGGCTTTGAGGCGCCCACAATCCCGCCAAATCCCATTGCCCAATCCATGCCAAGTCCACCTTCAGACCAATTTCTGAGTTCCTGCAACAGTTAGTAGAACAGTGGGCTTTTGAAATGGCAAACCAAACAATGCCATTTGCCAATTTTCTACCCTTGAGATTTGGTAGCCGTGGTGCCTGTTGTCCCTTCATGGTGGGGATGAAGGTGGATTTAGGGGTTCTGGCTTGATATTCCATGGAAAACTCTCGCAAACTGCAAGGAATTGGTTTGGGTGAATTTGCACATGTTCGCTTGTGTTTTGTTCACTAATCCCCCCAGCCACCTTTTTCAGAACCTTGGCCAAACAGCCTGGCCCGCATGAGGGAACCGTTATTTTATAAACTCTATGAGTGACCACGCATGGCATGGCCCTCTATTGAGCCCTGGGGGACCCATGGAGAAAGAGACTGAAAAGACATAGGGCGCTTTGTGGGTCTCCATCCAGGTCCATCGTTGGACCGTTTGGTTCGCACGGTCAACTAACAAGTAGGAGCTTTTACTTGGGTGGAACCACCCTTCTTTGGGGGTCCCCAATTTCAGACAAACCCACTAGGTCCTTGATGACATCCACACCCCGGCGGTTAAGGTTAGTTTGGTAATTAAGAATTTAAGAAATAGATGGCGCTGGTTCAGATTGGTTGCATGCATTCCACTAACCAGGGCCATCCATTTTGCCATAAGGGCACCCAGGGCACACCCTTTTGCCCCTTCGCAGGGCTTCCGGTACGCCACAGGTACCCCATCGGGCTTCTTACCTTTTGGTTCTTATGGTATTGAACTGGAAGCATTGGGTTTTGTTTGCGTGTTTCGCCGATCAATCCAACAGTCTCGAGACTTTTCTGACACTGAAGATGGCACCACTGGACATCCAACCGCCCTCCCCCCCTACCCACAACAAAAGGGGCTCCAGCAGAGAAAAGCTTATGGGTGTCCCGGACGGGTCCATTGCCAAGGGTTTCAAGCTGAACCATTCACTTCCTGAGTTGGACTTGCCTGAGGTAGACTTAGAATACATTTTACATTTTACCAGTGACTCAAAGTGAAGCACACAATGAAATGTGCATTCTATAACTGGTCCCAACTCTAGTCATGTTTCAAAGCCGTTTGTGGGAAGACCGTTGTAGTAGATAACCTAAGTTTGCGAGCATCTTTCGGCCAATCCACTCGATCGGAAGTGTCCTTCGAAAGGTGCGGGCGCTGGAGAAGGTTTGCTCAGACCTGGTGACCGGCGCCAAAGCCAAGGCGAAGCGGCTGAGGGTTCCGCTGGAGGGCTGGTTTGAAAAAGTCAAACCCAAATGCTGTGCTATGGGTATGGCGTGGAACCAATACTAGGTCCCCCAGTAGTGCCCTTTTACCGATTCTGTTTTGGGGGAGGGTTCCCCTGCTAAAATAGACTACAGAAACAAAGTACCCTTGTTCTAACCTCTCTGCTGGAGGACCTATAATAAATTACATGGGTATCTTTACGTCCAGCCAGTTTTGACGGGTTTCCCATTGAAGTTCCGAAGTTCAGCCTGCCAAAGGGGCTGAATAGTGTTGCAGTTGCATTTCTTTCCTGTCGGGACTAGATATGGCTTCAAAGTCCCCCACAACCCTTTTGCAATAATTTAGTCCCTTACATCAGATAGCACGTACAACTTGACCTTGAGTTGCCAAAGAAATCAAAGGGGGATGCTTCTACAGGGGCTTGGCTACAAGCTCACCTGCGGCGTGTAAGGACCCCTGCGCACCCTACGCCTCGGTGTGTGCCCGCAATCCCTCAGCTACCCCCTGTCCTTTCCAAAACGGCTGGCTCTCGGTTCAAAGGAGACAATTGATTCGGAAAAGTTTAGAACTTCCCCGGAAGGGATCTCTGCTTGCAACGGCCTAGCGCGAGGATCTGAAAGTTGCTGGACCTACCCGCGGCCGCCTCGGGACGCCTGCCGGAGAGAAAGCCTCCTTTCAAATCCTGGGGTTCTTGGGGGTTCTGGCTCCAAAAGCCACCTGTGCCATGACACGGATTGATCCCTGGAAATGGTGGACCCCAAAGCCATGATGGATCCTGCGTTGTTCCATGACCGTTGCACCCAATGTTATCTGCATATTTCTAAAGTTTGATCTCCATTATTTTCTCCCATCGTTATTATCAGAAACCGATACAAAAGCATATTTGCCGCTTTCTGGGCATGTTCTCTCAGGGAAGAACTGTCGGTTCAGAAGTGTTAGGAGGTCATCTGGGTGTGTCCTAAAACTGGAACCTCTCAAAGATGGTTTGACCTTCCCACAAACACGGAACCTGATTTAAGCCCCTTTAAACCCCCCCCCCCCTTTCACTAAAACCCCTTTAAAAGGCCCCATATTTTTGGGGGACACCCCAATATACTGTAAATCAACCGCTGCGGCAGTCCACCCAACAAGGCAACAGTACATTAACCTGCTTTTTATCATCCCCTTAACAACCAAAATGGACTTGTGTCATTTACTTTCACATACAGTAAATACCCTGCACAGGCCAGTTGCATAGGGGTTGTGTGAAAGATTCTGGTTCAAAACCTGAAGTTTTTCGAGGTCTCCCCACCAAGATCCTCCGCCTCATGGTGCGCAAGAGCCCTTGCGGAGAAGGCGGGCTCCAAAGGGTTTGCAGGTGTTCGCCTTTGTTGGACGCACTTTCCGACGCGCTTTTTCAGGAAGAACTGCTGGCCGCTTTTTCAGGAAGAGCGAAGGCTGTTTTGGCCGTTTTGTCGTTGAGTTGTGCAGAGGCCGCCTTCTTTTGACGCTTATTGTTCGGGAAGATGCGAAACGCCTTGAGCGTCTTTTTTTTTAATTTGGAGATGTTATTTGGAGATGTGAGTAAGATTGGGAGATGGGTATTTATGTCTCAAAAAAGAGGCGCAAACACAGTGGTATTTCTTTTGGTTGCTTTTTCATCCGATCTGAAAAGTGTACAAACAAACAAAACTAAGCCCAGGTGCTATCCCCACCGCCCAACCCTTTGAAAGCTGCTAGGAACCGCAGAGCTGATTCTTGGGGCAGAGAGGCCAACGCTTTCAGTCAGCTGTGGGGGGAAAATATAGGTCACCAAAATAACGCACAGCGCTATATAGGGGATCGATACCCAATTGATTGGAGAAGAATACCCGAATCGCTAGCCATGCACTGTTGTTTGGGATTCCTGCTCAATCTGCCGGAGCCAACAATCAGCTTGCCCTTGTCTGGTGGTTTGGTGGTGAAGGAGTGGTTTCCCATTTACCGTCTACAAGAACCAGGGTTCGAATCCCCAAACCACAAATCCAAGAAACCAATTACCCTCCCACCAATTAACACGGAACCTGACAGGGGATCCCTCTAAAAGGAAAAAGGTCCAAACCAGGTTTGAAAGTGTTGCCAGGCTGATTGTGATTTGTCTTGTCCAGTCCCTTTCCCATAATATCAGGTCCTTGTAAATCATTAACCACCAGCTTGTCTAAAGTTGATATCTGCAGAGTCACCAATCCATCCTAAAATTTCAATACAATCGGCAGCATAATCAGCAGTGGCCCATGGCGTTTTTGGGCTATGTTGCTCCGGGCAACATGTTTAGAGCGTCGCCAGGCACCAACACTTTCGATCGCTGGGAGATGCGCATCCACAAGCGCCTCATCGACCTGCACTCGCCCTCGGATGCCGGGCGCTGAGGCGCTGAGGCGCTGAGGCGCTGAGGCGCTGAGGCGCTGAGCTTCATGAAGCCCTTCATGGGCCTGGAAACAACGAGCTTTGGGTGTTCGAGCAACTGAAGCTGCCATTTGCTGAAGAATGTGTGTGTGTGTGTGTGTGTTGTTTCTCGTGTTTTAAGGGGAGTTTCATCACTGCAAATCGATGTTTGCTTGTTTTTTTGCAGGGGGCTTAAGCAAATGGAAGCAAGAGCAGGTTATGTCCGTACAAGGGGGACCAACGGGTCCCAGTCACCCCAATTATTTGTGTTGTGAGGCTACAATCATAGCCACAATCAGGAACCGATTCGGGTAGATGAAGGTTAGGGGCAGTCCCAGCCCGACTTGGTGCGACAGCTTTTTAAAATATTACGTGGATTTTGGGGTAGGCTATTTCAATACCAGGTGTTGATTGTGACTCATATTGGCTAACCCCGAGTATCCCCAGCCACAACCTTTGTTATGACCTGCTTCTAGTTGGTTGAACTTCCGCGCAAGGCGGGCTATGCAAAGCCCTCAGCAAGGTCTCAATGGTGTCGATAGATGATCGCCCCCTCCACACCCCCAGGAGGTGCATGATAGTTGTGAGTGGCTGCAAGTTTGGCGTTAACTTTGCCTTGAGGCTGCTAAAACAAGATTCCTTAAAGAATACCTGTTGGCCACTTTGAAAGCAGCTCGTCGCGCCTGTTTTAAAGGGTTTTTTCATGACCCACGTGGTTTTCTAAGTTTGTCCTTATGGACTGCCTGTTAACGTTGAACCCTACCGGTCTTTGGGGTCCCGGGTGCTGGGTAGGGCCCCTGGTTTCACTTTCTGCGTGAGGTAGATGTGGGAACAAGGCTGCAAGGGCCTTCCACATCGAAGTGTTCTTTGAACGTGGTTGACCATGAAGTAGTTCTGGAAAAATCTTCGGGGAAAATGTTCTGGGAAAACGTTCTGGGGAAAGTTCTGGGGAAAGTTCTGGGGAAAGTTCTGATTGCACTTCAAGGATCTTTTTTTCCTTTCGACGTGATGTCCTAAAACTCACGCGCCTCATCGCCCCTTAGAATCCTCGGGCCTTTGGGCTCTGGGGTTCACAGGGCTCAGCTGGGCTTTTGAGGGACCTGGACATATTTTCTCTTCGCTTCACTCCCCAAACAGACACTTGGAACAGATGAAGGCAGGTTGTTGTTTTTCCAAAACAACAAACTAGGTGTAGCAAAAACCAAGCGGGGATCTTTCCAAAACAAACTAGGTGCAGCAAAAACATCAAGTGGTTTCCCCTACGTTTCAAGGAAAGCCACAGGGATCGCCGCCTTCCAAAAAGTGCCCAAGCCCACCGAAAAATGTATCGATCGATCGAGGTAGTGAAGCAGATCACCTCCATCTCCATCGAGCCCCTTGTCATTTGAAGATCTGGGCGGTGACCAGTGGGGGGGTTTGCGGTCGAAGACAGCCTTTAGGGCAGCTAGGTGCCCTTCTCTACCGTTTCTTTTTTGGTTGGGAGGGTTCCCCTACTAAAATAGACTACAGAAAAAAAGCTGGTACCCTTATTCTAACCTCTCTACTGGAGGAGCTAGAGAGGTCAAGAAGCCTCATTAGGCACAGTGCTCACACTTGCCACTATAGTAAAACCAGGATTTCTTACCTCTGTAAGTACATGACGGTTTCCTACTGTACGACACTGGAAACTAGAAGCACTAGGAAGCCCAAAGGCGCAAACACCAAGTTGAAGTTGGAGGTTGCAGTGATTTGTTGTGCGAAGGTTGTGACTTTGCGCGTTGTGCCAAGCCTTTGAACGTCTTTCAACCCCTGAGTTTCAGCAAGCTCCCTTTGGTTCCCCTGAGGGCCAGACAGCCGTTGGACCCATTTGGTTCCCTTCAAATCTCGGGGCACGGTTGGCCAAAAAGGGCCCAGGCAACTGGCAGGCGGCTGTCTGGTCCAAAACGGATTTGAGCAGTCCGTTTAATTCCTTGGATGGTCCCTGAATTTGGTACCTTCTGGATGGTCCATGGCCATAGACTTGTAGGCATTCGTTGATAGTTCCCATGTTCCAAGGACGAGCAAGTCATCGAAATCTAGTTGCTTCGGTGGCCGCATGCGGGCTTCATTAGTCACATGAGGATTGTTGGTCTGCATGAATCTTAGTAGCCATCGTGGTCGAAAACCGTTTTAAGATGGGTTTCATTTTAGGTCAAACTCCCTGTGCGTGTTTTCCGTCCACACATGTTTGGGGTGCAAAGTAGATATATGTTGACCTTGGGATTCCATTTTCCTATTTCGAGACGAAACTTATGATCCTCATTATCACGCCCCTTTTATGGGGCAACGAAGCAACAGCGCAACGGTGAGGCCTGGAGTGGAGGTGGTTCGGCCCTCAGTCGAGAGAGACGCTGTCTCTCAAAGCTCGGCTGCGCAGTGACACCCTTTGTTCTGTTTTTCCTAAGACAAACAGAATCAGGGTTGTGGGATCAAGGGGTTTCTTCCCACTTCCGTGATACAAGGGAATCCCCCTTTATATGAAGAAAATATTCTTTGGGAAGCCCTTTCTGTTGTACCACAGCCCTGAACAGAATCAAACAGTTGACCTCTTGCAAAGATATGGTCTGATGTAATGCTTACAGCCCTGCTTTCAAGATGGTTCGACTTGTCTGGAGAAGGGTTTCCCTTTTGAGTCAGCCAAGGAAGGTGCCGTTTTTCCATGGGCATCCGGTCCCTTCCGAGGAACTAAGCTCGTAGTCCACTGCAAATTTGCATGGAACTCCAAAAGGAGCTTTCCCAAAAAGAGACCCCTCTAAAACCTGGTCAATTCTCCAAAAGGCGATTTGTCCAGAAATTGCAGTGGTGTTTTGTGTTTTGGGGGGGTCCATGTTGGCCTGCAAGAGGGTAAATCTGGCGGAGGGTCCCCACAAGTAGCAAGGGAACACCGTCCTTTGCATTGTTTGAAACACGTGAATATTTAGGTGTGCCTTGTTGAAGGGCACTTGTTTTTGTGATTTTAAAGGGAATCCAAACGAAACCTATCTTTCTTTCTGAAAAAAGGACACTCATTCGTGCACTGCCCTTCCTTCTAACTTAGGGACTGTGGGAGCGTACCTGGAAGTTCCATTTCCTCTTGCAGGGACACTTCATTTCCCAGGCAGGTGCTTTATCTTCGCTTCGAAGGAGGGAAGCCCAGCATGAAGCAGTCGCAGATCCTGGCTCATGACTGGCTGGTCATTCCAAATGCCCCCGAGAGAGATGTGATCCGCTTCTCCAGACCTGTGGACGAAATCCTTCGCCCAAGAAGCTCTAGAATGATTGGATTCCCCCCTGTAAATCGCAACACACGTTGTGGTTTCCCGTGACATAGCATGGTTTCAACCGTGGTGTCACGTTATGGTCTCAACCGTGGTGTCAAAGTGGTGCGAAATGGATCTCGTCCATCCCCATTCGGCAGCCACAGCCGAGGAGGTGACCATCGCAGACTTGTGAGTTCGACGTTCGACGGACCGTGGCAGGGCATCCCAAAAGACTGATCGATCCGAGCGGGTGTGGAACTGGAAGATCCCAACAGCCCCAAAGAATAGCTTCCACTTGTTGAAGAATCAGCGCTCTGTCCTCCTGTTGATTTCAAAGGGAATCCATCACTGCTGGGAAAATTGCTTGTTTCTCCAGGGTAAAGCAAATGGATGACAAGTTTGGTTGGGGCAAAATAAGGCCCGAGGGTGTACGACTTCAAGAGTTTGGGTTTTCTTGGGAGGCTAGTGTCTCTGAAGTACCCTGCCCGATTCCATGGAAGCCTGTAGGACTTTGGGCATTGCCAGACTCAGCTTTTGCGCTTGTCGCTTTCTTGCTTTTCTTTCATGGGAGTTTATCCAAACATGGCGGCCTTTTTCAAATTGGCGTTTACGGGTAAAAGGGCACCAAGCACTTTAGGACACTCCCCCATGATTTTGAGAACCCCCCCCCGCTTATGTTCCCCTTCTCACTATCAAAGATGAACTTTTTGCAGGCATCCGAGCCTGGAGTGGGACAATCGCTGTCCTTTTCCAAGGCCGACCCTCCCCTAGGACTTCCCCCCCCATTGTCCTTTTGGCCTTGGGAAAGCAGTGCTGACCTTGGTCCTTTCTGCGGCGTTGTGCGTGTCATTCGATAAGAGTCTGTCTTTTTGTGGAGGGTACCTTTTTGGGATGTTTTTGAAGGGAAACTAAAGGAACCAACATGTCTGTTTTGTTTGTTTGTTTGTTTCTTTATCTTTCTTTCTTTCCTCCTTTCGTTTTGGGTGGGGGGGGGTTGTTGGGGAATCCCTACGTATGTGAAGAGAACCCATATGGGCACGTGTGTCAAAATCGTGTGGTCCAAAACATGGCGGTTGTCCTTTCGGTCTCACTTTAACCCAACCTAAAGAAACCTAAAAAGGGGCAGCTATACCTTGTTTATTTCTAAAATATAATTCTTGTCGTGGCCCCCAAAGGTGATCACCTTGAATTTCCAGGTCCTTTGGGGTGAGAAAGGGATTCAGCGCCAGCTTTACAGAACCCGCGGTCCAAGGCCTTCAAATTTCACGTGGCCCGGGTATGAACATATTGCGTCGAAACACTGGTGCAGGTGTTCTTTTTTTGGAGGGGTGTTCCTTGAACGTCAATGTTTGGTTTGAAGGGCGGGTTCGCCTAAAATCAAGCAGCCCCCAAAACATGTCCTTGTTTGGACCCTGGCGAGGTTTGGGTAAAAAGTTGACCAGGTTGCTGCCACCGTCACTGGCCGTATGGCTCAGGGCTCGGCGCCATTTCAAGCTGGGCCGTTGCCGCGTGCGTTCAGAAAGCTGGGTGGTTCCTAAGCACGACCCTGCGCAAAGCCATAGATGTGGTTCCGAGTCTCAAGCACGCGAGCATAAGGCGAGGGGAAAACTCAGCGATCTCAAACATGCTCTCGGCGTTTAAACCTCGACAGGGTCGAGGATTCTTCAACTGGGGACCCAAGCGGATGATGTCCTTTTGAGTTCCCTTTTAAAACCAACCAAAGGGGGGCTCAGAGTACGACTCACGCACAGGTTTGGATGCTCGAAAATACATTGGTTTGGTGTTTTTTTGGGTGACCCACAACATGGGGTTTGTCCTTTGGGTTTTCTTTAAAACCGCAAAAGCAGGGTGCCCTCAAAGCAAGACACACCCACATCTTCCGTGGCTGCTCAGCCATATCTAGCCATGCCCTTGTCCCATGACGCCTTCAACAAGCTCCCAGTATCGCAGGCGCCTGCGAATTGGCTTTGGGTGATTTCTTTGTGGACCTACTGTATCTTCTTGGCCCATGTAAAGGTCCGTCTGTTTGAATGTCGACACCGTATGATTCAACACGCTCAGCAAGAAAAACGAATTGGGCGCTTTATTTCTGCTGGCTTTGGATACCCAAAGGGAGTGGAGCTAGAATGTCCGATTCGCCGACCCGCCAACCCGCCGACCCGATCCGTGCGATGTGGCGAGTTGGAGGCCCTCTTCGGCATGCCGTCCATGGCCTCCGGGCTCGATGTGAAAGAACTCCTGCGAGAGGCGCGGAGATCCGTCGCACCTTCGGAGGAGAAACCAACCGCGTTGTAGCAAAGACAAGTGCCGGTCACTGAAGGTCTGGGCAATGGGAACCGCTGGATTGGGCAAAAATCCTTCCTGATGATGTTTAGACACCTCTCGGGTTTAAACCTTCTCGAATCAGTCAGGTTCCATGTTAGTTGGTGTGAGGGTAGTGGGTAATACGCCTTGCTAAGGGTAAAAAGGACAGGTATATGGGTATTATATGGGCTTAGCAACTGGGAACGGGTGAGGGCGGTCCCTGACGAATCCTAATCTTCAGACTTCCACTGAGAACACGACCCAACAGGCCACCACACAAACACGACCCACGAGCCCTTCACCGGCCGGGGTGCTTGTGTGTGTGCGCGTGTGGCAGCCCAAGCCACTTCAGGGACACATACCTGCGAACCGGTTCGCATTGTTGACGGCATTTGGAGAAGGATTAGGTGTGTACTCCTTCATTTCTTTAGGGGACCCTTCCCCAAAAAATGTGGTTTTGCTGTTGGTTGTCCTTTCAATCTCAACAAAGACACCCAATATTGCAGCCACTATTTTGATCATATTCTTCGTGGATTTTACATGCTCAAGCCTGGAGACATCCTCAGAGATGACAGTGGGCAAATTCTGACAGTTAAAGACTCAACTTAAAGAGGGTACCGTGAAAGTTGTGTTTCCGTGTTTCACTTGAAAGCAGGATCCTATATCAGGGTTGTGGGATCAAGGGGTTTCTCCCCACTTCTGTGATACAAGGGAATCCCCCTGTATATGAAGAAAATAGTCTTTGGGAAGCCCTTTCTGTTGTATCACAGAAGTGGTCATTCCCACAGCCCTGTCCTATATAGTCACCGTTTGGAGTCAACCATCTTCAGAGTTGACAGGTGGGCACATCCCTGGCGGACGCCGATGTGAAGGCGCAGCGCGTCATGGGCCCCTCGGCTTTTTCTGCCAACCGCCGGCGGCAAAGAGGGCTGGGCGCACTGCCAGGGGCCTACAGACCACCCCTGAAAAGACCTCCCCCCCGCAGTGTTCGGGGTTTAGTAGCCTGATCTTGCCTGTATATTCAACCAACTTAGCCGGTGTCAACCAACTTAGCAGCAGTCCTTTTGTAACCTTGGTGATAAGGATTGAACATCCAAGAACCAAACATCCACTCACATGAAAACAGCCTTTTAAAAGGCATGCCCAATGAAGCCACGGACTCCCAGAAAACTCGCTTCAAAAAACAAGCAGCAGGTCTGGCTTCAAAGCGCGTGACGGCCCAGGTCTGGCGGATTCGCAGCGAGTGCGCATGTTCACCGAGAAGGCCTCCGAATCGGCGGGGCGGATCGGCGGCTCTCGGGCGCTGTGCCTCAGGTGTGGTTTGGATGGTGTGGTGTTTGGAACAATTGGTCCCCAGCAATTGGTGCCAACTTTTACCGATTCTGTTTTGGTTGGGAGGGTTCCCCTACTAAAATAAACTACAGAAAAAGGGTACCCTTATTCTGGCCTCTCAACTGGAGGAGATAGGACGTGTTTGGAGGTTTTCGGGTTTTGGGAGTTGCATTTTGGCTTTCGCGAGTTTGGGTGCGAGTGGGGGCTTACTAGGCTGACTAGGCACCGCATGACGAGGTTGAAAAGGATGGACGCAGGCAAACACTCTCCTGCTTCTGCCAGACAGTCCTAGAACAATGGATGTATGCAAGGCTTGCTAGACCACCTGGTCGTAACTTCTTGGAAGGGTGCTCCGTCTTCGAGCCTGTGCTAGTTTTCCGCACAGGTCTCTCCAAAATGCACCGGAAAGAGTTGGTTCCGGTATGGCATGGCGGGTGTCTGAGCTGGTGAGACCCGCGATGAAAGGACTGAGATCACACTTCTTGGCAGTGACTTCTGACTATCAGCATTGACCATGCTGAGAAGCTGTCCTGTCTTCGGCAGCGATGAAAGGACTGAGATCACATCTTTCAGCATTGACTCGTGATCTTTAGAGGCTGATGAGTGAAAGGTTTCATTGCTTGTTTTGGGTGCTCCGTCTTCGAGCCGGTGTTTGTTTTCTGCACAGGTCTCTCCAAAATGCACCGGAAACAGTTGGTTCCGGCATGGCATTGCGGGTGTCTGAGCTAGTGAGACCCGCGATGAAAGGACTGAGATCATATTTTTCAGCATTGACTCTTGACTACCAGCCTTGACCAAGCAGAGAAGCTTTCCTGTCTTCGGCAGCGATGAAAGGACTGAGATCACATCTTTCAGCATTGACTCGTGATCTTTAGAGGCTGATGAGTGAAATGTTTCAGTACTTGTGTCGGGTGCTCCGTCTTCGAGCCTGTGTTTGTTTTCCGCGCACGCCTCTCCAAAATGCACCGGAAATAGTTGGTTCCAGCATGGCATGGCGGGTGTCTGACCTGGTGAGACCCGCGATGAAAGGACTGAGATCATATTTTTCAGCATTGACTCTTGACTACCAGCCTTGACCAAGCAGAGAAGCTTTCCTGTCTTCGGCAGCGATGAAAGGACTGAGATCACATCTTTCAGCATTGTCTCGTGATCTTTAGAGTACACCTAGCTTGTCAGCCAGGCTGATAAGTGAAAGGTTTTAGTACTTTTGTCGGGTGCTAGTTTTCCGCACAGGTCTCTCCAAAATGCACCGGAAATAGTTGGTTCCAACATGGCATGGCGGGTGTCTGACCTGGTGAGACCCGCGATGAAAGGACTGAGATCATATTTTTCAGCATTGACTCTTGACTACCAGCCTTGACCAAGCAGAGAAGCTTTCCTGTCTTCGGCAGCGATGAAAGGACTGAGATCACATCTTTCAGCATTGACTCGTGATCTTTAGAGGCTGATGAGTGAAAGGTTTCAGTACTTGTGTCGGGTGCTCCGTCTTCGAGCCTGTGTTTGTTTTCCGCACAGGTCTCTCCAAAATGCACCAGAAACAGTTGGTTCCGGCATGGC